TTAAAAAAAAAAAAAAAAATTTATTATTAAATAATTTATTTATTTAACTTTTTATGACTTTTTTTTTTTTTTTTTTTTCATAATTGATGTTAGTATTAAAAAATAGAAAGAATTATTACAGGTACGCGGGGCATTATGAAAAATATGATAGATCAGGAAAAAAACACACTATTAACACACTTTTATGAGACTCAAAAACACATTATTAACACAACTACAACCAATTTAGTATCTACAAGCTTAGATTTAAAAAAATAATAATAATAATAATAATAAATTAAAAAAAAATTGATGAATTAATGTACTTCTCACTTCTAAAATAATTTTAGAACATATATATATATATATACACACACACACACAATAAATAAATTACTGGAGGTGTATAACCTTCCAAAGAGTATATAACAATAAAAAAATTACTGAAATAAACTTTGAATTACTTGAATGTAATGTTTTACAAAATAAACAATTGACTTACAAATCACTGGGATCTTTAGATGGTTACTCGGTTGGATACAATCGTAGTATGGTTGAATACAACACGAGAGAGAAGCTAATCTAAAACGAAAAACTTGAATTTTACGCGAGAGAGAGAGAGAGAGAGAGAGAGGGAGGGAGAGGGGGGTTGGTTAATCTAAAAAGAAAATTTAGAATTTTACAAGTGAAATGAGTTCTTTATATAGAAAACTCTTGACTACTGCGGCGGGAATTCCGGCTTTTTCACCGAAAGTGAACAGTGACTTGTCGGTTATTGTGGATGAACAGTAGGTTACTATTCGCGTCGTTTTGTGCCGACGATTACTGTAGATGAATAGTAACTTGTCGGGAACTATTGAAATAGTTATATAGAACGAAATTAAAATCAAATTCTATCTTTAAGATAAAATTCCTCTTAAGATACAACGATTTTAACGAGACTTTTGTCTCTCAAGATAGTACATCTTTAACCATTCAAATTATTGAAAATAATAATCCAACCAAATGTTTACACCCATTGGGATTTTATTGTCAGAGCCAGAAGGGAGATATTTATAGAGAAATTGGTGCCTTTTTTAGTCCATCTGAATAGCCGTCGGGTGCACTTGTTCGGCCCAACACAGTCGTTGATTGCACCACTTCTGTCCATAGTTTCATCGGTTGCACCTGTTCATATCACTCAGCCATTTATTCATTTTTGAAAGGGTTAGCATATAATCGTGAAAAAGCTTGTAAAATCTAATTTCTAAATATATAAATTGTCATTAGCTTTTAAACAGAAAATCTTTTATAATTAAATTCGAAAAGATAGGTCAATATATATATTTTTAATTTAGTTGTATTTTGAACTTAAATCCCATTTTCATATTAATTAATAACACTTTTATAATGTAATTGGATGAGAAATAAATGTTAGTTTTGTTTATACGATTCTAAACTTGTTATTTTATTTTGTTTATCATTTATAATATTATCATAATGTCAAACCTTACAAAGGTGGTTATGGTTAACCCAGATATGTAGCTCTCTGCAATCCATTCACCTACAAAAATAGTAATTCCTGGGATTATTGCCGTTTTATACATACTTCCAAACTTTGGAGGGAATTTTTTTTTCAAAATTATTTGTAATTAGCAGAAATTGATTCTAAAACTTGATACTTCATGAAACACGAGACCAAATCTTTTCTAATTAGGCTATTCCTTGGGTTGGGGATCCTTTTCTATCCTATTCTTGTAGTACAAGTTTATTCAGTCGGGCCTACTCCTATTATGTAAGTGGGCTTCTTTTTGGGCCCGTTCTGGACCAACATGGGTTTCCTAAATGGTCCGGTAGGTCGGCTAATTGGGTCAATCACCTTATGGGTTATTGCTAAATTGTTTAAATTTCACGCCAAAAATGTGCTCCACCCCAGCAATACAACTTAGATTTATAAAATATGCTTAGTTAATATTATTTTTAGTGACGAACCTAAATATTCTTAGTTAATAGAGAAGTGTTTTTTTGCAATTTCAGGAGAAATAATTTCAAAATTTTATGGGTATGTAATACAAAAAAATATAAATTCCGAAAAAAAAAAAAAAGAAAAAAAAAGAAAAGAAAAATTCAGTGGAGGTGGATGAGCCCACAATAAATACGCCCCCGATTATGTCTATTACTGGCTAAAGAAAATATAGTTTTTTTTTAAATTTATTTATGAAAAACCACTATTCTCTTCCAATTTGTGGTTATGAGTTTTTTCTTTCTATGAGGCTTGCTTATCTGGTGTGATGGTGTCCATTCGTCAATTTGTCTGTTTCCTGTTGTCTTTTAGAAATAAAACAAGCTATGTCCCGCACTTGTACTACATTCTCTTTTTGTAGTATAATATATTCCATGAAAAAACGAAAAATATAAGTGAGAAGCGGATTGATAGAAAAAAAAAAAATACATATATATATATATATATATATATATGTATGTATATATAATTATATATAGTTCCAGAGTTACAATTAAGTAATAGTTCGGAGATGTACAGGGTAATTTGGCCTTTCTTTTAGTCTGTTTAATAAAATTGGAAATTTTAAGTACTAAATTTTAAGTATCTAAGTTTTTAAGTGATAATTAAAAAATATATACTTTTAATATTTTTTTGAATTTTCAACATCTAATAAGTAATGTTCTTGTTACTTAAATTTTTAATCTATTTTAATTCAAATTGTGTTATCAAGCATACTTAATTAGATACGCGTTTAATTCATTCGGACTAAATTGAGTTGTCAAATAAATCTTTGTCCGATAGCAACAATTTTTTTTTCTTCGTATATTTTTCCTTTGTGATTTTTTTTTTTTTTCACAAAATTTAAACAATTATTACTTCCTCCAATCCACAATAAGTGTCTCTTTTTTAAAAAGAAAATGTTTGCCTTAGACCATTTAAGAAAAAAGTTCCATCTTATGGTGGTGTGGTCCAAAACACTAACATGTATTATAAGTTAAAATATGGATTAGAGCCACTTCTAATGGGTTAACCGGATAGAATTCATATTACATATACAAAATTACCCATATTACACAACATCAAAAGCTTAATGTTCATAATCTCATCATCCTTTAGTCCCCTAACAGACATTCTAATAAAGATCGGGCATACTTGGTTTACAACTCTAAAAACAGTTCTTAAAAATTCAGAGAACAAAAAATAGTTTTCAAATAACAAAAAAATACAGTTATCTGAAAACAGGCCTTTTTTTTTTCCTAGTTGGTAATCACACACATACTTATCTCTTTTGGAACTTGAACCCCTGACCTCTCTTTGCGAAGTAAGAGACTGATACCATTATAAAATAGATAGTTTTCAAAAAATTAAACCAAACATAATTTTTTGTATAGTTTTCAATTTTTTGAAAATATAAAACTATTCTCGGAGTTACAAACTAATAGGCTAACTTTCCACCACAATCCTATAGTTCTAACGAAGAGCAAGAAAAGATCTCTATAATTCTTATTCTCTTTTCCATGATACTCTATTAACTCAGCCCTAATTCAATCCAAGTATAATCAGAAGAAAAGAGGAAGCAGTGGAGTGTGTGTGGTGGTGCTGGTGGGTGGGGAGCGGCGGTGCTGGTGGCAGGGGCTGGTGGGGAGCGGTGGTTATTAGGGTTTTGGAATGAAATCATTTTCAATCTATCAACCTTCTTTATGTGTGTGTGTGTATCTTATATACATGAGTTGGGTTAACTTATGAAAATATGTTTAAATTTTTTAAATATTATATAATTTTTGGGACACATGCCAATTTTTTATTAGGCTACATCACTTATAAGAAAAAATTCCCTTCTTATATGACGACGTAAGGCAAGTATTATCCAAAAAAATAATAATTGGTTACGAATGAATTATAGACTATGGTGGTTTGGTAATGTTCATGTTTCATGTTTCTTATTAGTAAAAGGCCACAAAATAGAAATAGGTAAGATAAATATGTTTGATAACTTTATTTCCATTTTTTAATCTTGAAAACATGTTCTCAAAAAGTCCAATTTTTAAGAACGAAAAAACATTGTTTTCACTTGTTCCCAACACACGGGAAACATATTCTTAACTTATTTCTAATTTATGCGTATTCGTAAACATAGTCGTTTATATCTCTTTCCTCTCACTATATTCTCTCTCTTCTTCTTCTTTATGATCTTTGCGTGAAACCCATCGGTTGTGTAACAAAAGACAACCCATACATGATAGAATACTATATATAACGTAGATTGAAATTGCAAAAACTTATAAAGACAACCAAGCCCCAATTCGCTTCGATTCTCATGAATTGTTACTCTTTGTAATCTCGATGTATATATGAATGTGTGTGTTTGTATGTATGTATATATATATATATATATAGGTACAGGTATGTAGAGGGTATGGCTAAGGAATATATTAATTAACGAAATTAATATATTTTTATATAAATAATCTTTTTTATTAATTTTTTTTTTTTTGCTAAAAGCTTGCCAAACATGTTTTTGGTTTATCGTTTATAAAATTTAAGAAAATAAATAACTGATACCAAATATTAACTGTTTTTAAAAAACTGCCAAAGAAATAAGGACACTTAAAAATAAAAATAGCAGCTAGTTTACTATTTATAAATTTAACGTAAATAGTGAAATTGGTAATATTAAAATAACAAGTAGTTACCTTTTTAAAATGGGACAATTATTTAAAATGAAAAGATTGACAGGATAGCATGTAGAGTATTATTTTGTTTTACATCTTAGAATTTGAAAGTCAAGACCTATTCACATATTATAAGTTTCCATGTGAACGCTATAAAAGTCACGCCTGAAACAACAAGATTAAAAATATTTTCATTTGACAGGCTGATGACAGAAATTGCGAGTGACAAATTTCAACAGTGGGTCCCAGTACATACATTCCTTTTCAAATCTGACCAGTTTAATTAACAAGTCAATATGACATATTACCTACCACTGTATAATAAGATTATTTATAAATCCATATTAGAATTACCAACAAAATCTATACTCTTGAACAAAGTATCAGATATTTGTTACTTTTCACATTTAATGCACCAACCCTCTGACTTTGAATCTGTCTTTTTGAGCAGTTCAACTACGGAAACAAAGCAAGCCAAAGAAGAAAAAATTTCGAAGAAAATTTTTTTTTAAAAAAAAAAACCCACCCAAAAGCAAAAGGAAATATTCCTAGAAAACGAAACGAGATTTAGAAGTTCCTGTAGCTTTGGATTCTTGGGTACCTCAGAAAATCAAGGAACTTTTTTTTTCTTTTGGATTGAATCGGAGAGATGATGGGTAGTGGTTGTGTTGATGTCTTGTGGGCTCAGTCGTTGCTTTTCTGCATTAAAAGGTACTTTTTGAACACACTCTTGTTTTTTTCACTTTCTGTGCTTTTACCATGATGATTCACTGGTTTCAGTCTATTCACTTCCACTATAACTCCCGAGCTCGTGTAGGGTTTTGTGATTTATAGTTTTATACCGTTTCTGGTGCTGAAATTACCTTGGTGTACTTGGTTCTTTTTTCTGATTTTTTCAATTACTTCTGAAATGGGAAAGATGGTGTTTTGGGTTTGTAGTTGGTTCAATTTGGTGGTTTTCTGAACTGGGTTTGCTTAGTTATCTTTTCTTATTATTATTATTATTTTTAAAAATATATATATACTTTTTTGAAAAAATGGTAATTTGGATTGTTTTGAATCAGAAATTTTAGGGTTTATAATTGAAACTTTGTTTAGTACTTTTATGGCCTTGAAGGTTTCAGATTACATTATTTTGATGGTTATATGAGGTGGGATTGGATTTTCATTCTAAGAGGAAAGTTTCAATTTTGAATTCTGGATTACAGAATTTAATAAGTGAGGTTTTATTATTCGGGAAAAAATGTTCGAAAATTCAAACTTTTATATTATGGAGTTGGCAAAAACTCTGGAGAGGATGGTCACAATGCCAAGCTCATTTTGATTGTTCTTTGTTGAATTCTGGATTAGGAAGCATATGTTATCGATCATATAAGAATTGGTAAATAGTGAGTGTGTTACAGTTCTTTAGAGGGTTTCTGATTTTTTAAATGGTTTGTGGATGATTTTTTATTAGAGAAATCTCGAGTGTTATGAGACAGAATGAGAATTAAAAACTGGATAAACATTAAAAAATTCAGCATTAGTGGGAGACTCCGGAAGATGATGAAGTGCATTTGCTCAGGGCAGCAGCAATTAGTAGTTGATGAATTAGTTGCTTCATCAGAGTCACTGGCAACCCGAGACTATTCAGCCAGTGGAGGGTATTCATCTCGAGCTGGTGAGGCTGATACGAAGGTGGATACCAGCAACATAGAAGAAGCTGAGTCGTCCCTCCGTGAGAGTGGATTTTTGAACTATGAGGTTAGTTTCTTCTCCCCTTCCTCCATCTAAAAGCTCTGCTTCTGTGTGGAATTATCAGTTTTGAAATGATTGTCTCTGCAGCACTGCATAAATGAAATTAAAAGCTCTATCTTTTTTATAACATCATATAAAGTTTACCTAAAAATTTAGGATTTCATAAGTGTTTTATTGTTTATACTTTATTTTTCTTTTTTCTTTTTCGTGTATTGAGTACTTACTACAGAGAATTTGGAAAGGATGGATACTACAACAGAGGAGGTTTTCTATAAAGTCAGAAGGAAAAAATAAATAAATAAACAGAAGATGAGAAAGTAAGAAACAATTTCTTAAAATTATCAAGTAGACATTTAAGCAGCTAACGTGGGAGGTGGACGATCTAAAATTTGTAAGTGGTTGCAACACTATATTACCGAGAAAAAGCCTCCGCATTCACCACTCTAGGAATCAGAAAAATCTTCATTGAATGGAGACTGTTGTATCTATTATTTCCATAAAAATATATAGATATCTAGGAACCCAACAAGCTTCTTGCACCAGTTCATTCGTGGTGACTGGAATTTCCTTTTCCTTGGATTCTCCAAGTCCCTATAATATGGCTAAATGCTCAACATTATAGTGATTCTGAAGTCCTACTAATCCCGACTCTGAAGAAATAAAGAAAGATAAATTGGCCATGGTGCCTACATAAGCTGCAGTGCCAAGCTGTCCTGGGTTAGCAGAGGTGTACAACTCGATTTCCTGCCTGACCATTGATCAAAACAACAGAGATGTCCTAGATTGGTTAGGGCTAATGAAGCCACTGCTTTTACACTCTTGAATCTTGGTAACTCAATGGAGCACCTAAATAAGGTCCACATTGTTTCTATCAATTTTTTTTTTCTACTTCCAACAAAAATCGAACCATAAATGATATTTTTTGTAATATTGAGGTACTTGTGGAAAATTTTTATTTATAGAACAGTGGGATGTTATTTAATACGCATGTCACAAAATATTACATAATAATCCTGTAAATAAAAGAAAAAGAAAAAAGAAAAAGAAAAAGGCAAAAGAGAGTAGGTTGCTAGTAGATTCCCAGATATAATGACATATAATATAACATGTATATGGTGTTTTTAGCATCCAGTATAACCATGTGGAAACAAGATATGCTTTATGACGTATGAAACAACATGAATATTGTGGTCTTGCATCAAATATGACACTGATTGCATCGTGTGTGTAAGATTAGTGAAGTTGAAGTGAAGTAAGAAGAAATGGACAATAATGCAAATATTAGCTTCATCCTTCAAACCTCTTTCAAAACAAGAACTATCTAGATTAACATTGGATTTCTAGTTTTTGTTTAATGACTGATCTTCTTCCTAGCTGAGCTTATATACCCATGTATAAAATATGTCAGAGAAATTCACCAATAGATTCATTTGAATATGATGCATTTGTTTCTTATGAATGAAATCTGAATATGGATTTAAATTTTTCTCTCTTTAAAATTTAAAGAAAAAATTCGTACTAGAAAATCAATGCCATAGGAATGATAACATAAATAGTCTTTGGTCAAATGTGACAAATTGTATAAAGATGGCGGCCAAGACAATTTTGGAAGAAATCAAAGGTAACAAATTTATGAAGAAAGAAATATAGTGGTGGAGTGATGAAATACAACAAGCAGTAAAATCTAAAAGCGAAGCTAAAATATGGTAACTAAAGCTAAACAAAATGCATTAAAAGAGTTTTATGAGAAATTAGGCACAAAAGAGGGTGAAAAGGCTATTTACAAGTTAGCAAAAAATAGAGCAAGGTTGACTAGAGATATAGATCAGTTAGGTGTATTAAGGGTATTGATCAAACAATACCAGTTAAAGATAATGACATATTAGTAAGATGGAAAAATTACTTCCAAAAATAACTAAATGAGGATTACACTAGAGAAGAACTTCTAAGTAACGAACCTTACATAAAAATGATAAACAAAATTGCTACTAAGTAGAGGAAGCACTCAAGAAGATGGGTACCAATTAAGCAGTATGACACTATGACCTGATAATATAATAGAAGTATGGAGAATTCTAGGACGTATAAATTTTGAATGGTTGACATAGTCATTTAACAAAATATTTGCAGAAGAAATAACGCCAAATGAATGGAGGAGTACCATAGTACTAATTTATAAAACTAAAGGAGATATATAAGATTGTGGAAATTATAGGGGTCATTTACTTAGTAAGACAATTTGGTGGAGATATACAAGGCAATTAATAGAGAAGTGTTGAAGTAAACAAAAGGATCTACACATAGTTTTCATAGATTTAGAAAAGACGTAGGACAGAGTTCCAATGAATGTAATTTGGTGGGCTTTACAAAAAATTAAGTCCCTATAGAACTTATAAACCTTAGTCAAGATATATGCAGTGAGACGAGGACTAGAGTTCATACTATATAGGGATAGACTAGTGATTTCTTTATACAAGTAGGATTATACCAAGGATTAGTGTTAGGTCTATATTTATTTACGGTAATTTTAGATGAAATAACAAAGAATATCCAAGAAAGACATTCCATGGTGCATGAATGACATTGTACCATTGAATACTTCTAAGTAAGCCTCAGCAATAAAATTAGAAACATTGAGAAATGCCTTAGAAGCGAAAGGCCTAAAAATTAGCAAGACTAAAACAAAATACATGGCATGTAAGTTTAATTAAGGCGACAATATAACTACTACAAGTCAAGACCAAAAGGTCACTGAAAATAACCATTCTCAATACTTCGGATCCATGCTTTAACAAGATGGAGAGATAGATGACAATGTAATAAGTAGGATTGGAGCAGATTGGACAAAATGGAGACAAACTAGTAGCATTTTATGTGATAAAAGAATACCAAATAAGTTAAAAAGGAAAATTTTATATGATGGTTATTAGACCAACTATATTATATGGAGCTCAATGTTGGGCGCTAAAAAAGAAACAAAAGCAACGTGCTCATATAGTTGAACTGAGAATGTTAAGATGGATGATAGGAGTGACTACAAAAGATAGGATTAACAATCAACATGTGGGGGAAAGTAGGAGTGTGCCACTAGTGATAAAATAAGAGAAGTATACTTAGGAGGTATGATCATATATAATAGACCCGTGGATGCACCAGTAAGTAAAGGTAGATCTATTTGCATAGAAGGTAAGATACAAAGAGGCATGTGGGATGAAGTAATAAATGATGATCATAAAAAAAATATATATAATAGAAGACATGGCTTGTAATAGAAAAGAATTCATGTGTCTGACTCCATTCTTTTGGGATAAAGGCAAGGATGATGATGAGAATGGGTCATTGTCTGGTGCAATGATAAAAACTTGGCTGACAATCTTGAGGTTTAAGATTCGAGTATTAGAGCAGCCACTTTGTGTAAACTAATGCCAAAGTTTGGTCTGTCTCCAATCTTCCCCTCCTAGCACCTCGCATTTGTGGGAGATAATCTAGGTAATGCACTTAATATTTTATACATGCCTAACTAGAATGGATAGGATGATTGTTGCATATTTCATGTTATTTTTTTTCCCTAGTTTATTTCATGTTAAATTCCGTTAATTTAAAATTTTACCGGTTTGCTTTAGTTTCAGTATTTATCTGCACAACCTGGTTTTGAGGCTTAGAGACCTTTGTAACTTATAGGAAGCGAGAGCTCTATTAGGTCGGCTTGAGTATCAGAAAGGAAACATAGAAGCTGCTCTTCGTGTATTTGAAGGAATTGACATAGCTGCTGTGACACCCAAGATGAAAATCTCTATTTGTAGAAGATGTGAGCTCCCTCGACGCCATTCACAAAGTGATGCCACCCCACCCATGTCTATGCATGCAGTCAGTTTGCTTTTTGAGGCAATTTTTCTCAAAGCAAAATCATTGCAGACTCTAGGGAGGTTCAAAGGTGCTTTCTTCTTGTTTATCTTCTTTTACCTCCTATTGTTTAATTTTGTTGGATATTTTGAGCCATGAGCTTGTTTAAATTAAGGACGATCTATTTATGCTATAAAGGAAACTATTGTGAGCTAAATCAAATTAAATATTCATTGTTATGTACTTATGTTGGATGTTGTACGCATTGGAAATCTATTTTTTCCTTCTTTTCGGAAATATGTGTCTACCAAGGCCTTCATCACTGTGTGTTGATCAGATAGAAATTTCCGTTTTTGTAATGCATCAGGAAGCACAAATCAGTTGGTTTTGGTTATATTCATAAAACAAGTCTGTATGTTGGTAGTATAGATCAGTCAGTTTATGGGGTTTATTATCATTTGTTGTTGTAAACTCTCTCTCTCTCAAAGGAATGTTAATAACATTAGATTCTTGAGTGACATACCATTTAATTGCATGGCTAATCATTCTCTCAATGGGTTTTTATAGAAGCTGCTCAATCATGCAAAATAATTCTGGACACTGTTGAATCTGCATTGCCAGAAGGCTTGCCCGAAAATTTTGGAGCTGATTGTAAATTGCAAGAGACCTTGAACAAGGCTGTTGAGTTACTTCCAGAGCTGTGGAAACTTGCTTGTGCTTCCCAAGAAACAATCTTGTCATATAGGCGTGCCCTCCTCTATCATTGGAATCTTGATATGGAGACCCAAAGAAATTTAGAAAAGGAGTTTGCAATTTTTCTTCTTTACAGCGGTAGTGATGCAGCCTCTCCAAATCTTCGTTCCCAGATGGAAGGCTCCTTTGTACCAAGAAACAATATTGAAGAGGCTATTCTTCTGCTACTAATTATTCTGAGAAAATCTGTTCTTGGAAGAATTGCATGGGACCCATCAATCTTAGATCACCTTTCTTTTGCCCTATCTGTTGCAGGTGAATTAAGGACACTTGCCCATCTGGTTGAAGAGTTGCCTCCTGGGATCCTGGAAAGAAAAGAAAGATATAGCACGCTAGCATTATGTTACTATGGGGAAGGTGAGGACATGGTGGCTTTGAATCTGTTGAGGAACCTGTTAAATAATAGAGAGAACCACAACTGCATATTTGAGTCATTACTGGCTTCAAAAATTTGTGGGCAGAAGCCTGATTGCTTTGAAGAAGGGATAACCTATGCTCGCAAAGTGCTTTCCAGTTTTGAAGGAAGATGTGACCAGATGGCAAGTGTTGCAAATTGCTTACTTGGTATCTCACTTTCTGCTGAATCAAGAACGATTGCTTCTGATTCTCAGAGGATTCTGAGACAGTCTCAAGCACTTGAGGTGCTAGAAACAGCCAAAAGAATGATGAGAGAAACAAATCCTAACGTCATATTCCATCTTAGTCTAGAGAATGCTGAGCAGAGGAAGTTGGATGTTGCTCTTTATTATGCAAAGCAGCTATTGAAACTTGAAGCTGGATCTAGCGTTAAAGGGTGGATCCTTCTAGCTCGCTTATTATCAGCTCAAAAACGGTATGTTGATGCTGAGAATATAATTAATGCTGCTCTAGATGAAACTGGGAAGTGGGATCAAGGAGATTTGCTGCGAACTAAAGCTAAACTTCAGATAGCACAGGGCCAATTAAGGAATGCCATACAGACATATACTCGTCTTCTAGCAGTCCTTCAAGTTCAGAGTAAAAGCTTTGGGATTCAGAAGAAGCTATTAAAGGTATGGTGCTTAATAGTAGACATGTTACGTCGTCTAGTGACTGGTTGATTGAGTGCTAGGGATGAGGAGAAGCCCTTTATTATATGCGTTCGAATTTGTCTAGACAACAATTCTTCTCATATGGACAAGGGCACTTGTATAATTTCCTTCATAATTATCAAAGATTGGTATTTTAGGAAGAGATTTTTTGTTGCACTACTTAGAGCTTCTTCGACTGCCCAACTGTGGCAGTTATAATAGGTGAAGTAGAGAAAAAGAAAAAGAAAGCCTAAAGTACAACTGTAAACTCTTTCAATTGAAGACTGCTGGCAAAGATGAAGAGTTGTTAAATGCATTATTCTCTTTGCATATTTTTCTTGCAGAGCAGGGGAAATTGGGACAGAGGATTGGAAATGGAAACGTGGCATGATCTTGCAGATGTATACACAAGCTTATCACAGTGGCGGGATGCTGAGATATGTCTCTCAAAATCCAAGGCTATAAATCCTCATTCTGCTTCTAGGTGGCATTCCACCGGTATGTTATGATTTATTCCCTTTATTATTTTTGTATAGTTTTCTTGAATTTAAATTATTACTCTCTTGACCAATAATACAAGACAGACTAACATTATGAACTTCTTAACTAACTGCTACGGTAATGCAATTCTCCGTGCTTCTAAAGAATCCCTTGCCACATGTACAAGCATATGGATACTCGGCACAGTTTGGCCAGTCAAAAAAAGTATTGCCTTTTCTTTTTACCCATTTCCTTCGTATGGTCATAGTTTCTGGGGAACTTGAGGGTAAAGTTCCCTTCAAGTCTAATTATACTCAATTTATCATAAATCTTAGGATGATTTTTCTCATATCCTTTATTGGGAGAAAAAGAATTTCTGTGCAGCCCAATTTATTTTTATTTGAGAAAAAAAAATTTGGAAACATTTTCTGTTAGGAAGTGGTGTACAAGGTGGTCGTGGCAATTCTTCGTTCACCTCTATTCATGTTGCTACGCATCTGAACTGCTCTTGGTTCGTTTTTTTTTTTTTTTTTGGTCTAAAATTAGAGCTTGTTATTGAAACCAATTTTAAGAAATGAACCACCAGATTGGTCCATTGTGTTTGTATCTCAGTTGAGAATACACTGTAAGATCTGTGTTATTTTTTTAAAATGGGCCTATCTTTCTTCTCGGCATTTAATAACTGCTGCTTTTGTGAATTACAAAATATCAACTGTGAAATTGCTTGAAGAAATGGAAGATGAGAGTTCAATAAAAAGTCATTCATCCTATAAAGCATTTTATGGCATAGTGTAACCCCCCCCTTTTTTTTTTTTTTTCATATTGTTTAATTATATGCTCTGGTGGGAGAGCAACTCCAACGGGCTTCTATTTGGGCTGCTACTTTCAAAATATAGCATGTGGATTTAAAATGGGCTCTCCATTGGCATGCCAAATGGGCTGCCAAAATATAACTTTGCCAAATGTTGTGCCAAATATAACACAACATATGGCCATTGCCAAATCTGCTATTGCTCGCTTCCTTCTCTCTTCTCTCTCGCATGGGCTGCCAATTTGGTGTTGTGCTTGTGTATATATATATATATATATATATATATATGTCAGTTGTGTTTGTATATATATATATGTGTGTGTCAGTGTTGTCAGGGGCGGAGGCAGCATATGCCCAGCCATGCTGCCCCACTAGATGTTTTATTTATTTTTATACATAAGTTGGTAAAAATTGATAAAATGCCCCCTGAAATTAATAAAATGGTCCCTCTATTTTTTATTTTATTTTATGCGTATAATTTGTAAATATTTTTAAAACACTTCCATAAAATTTATAAATTATTCCCCATAAAATTATCGATTTCTAAAAACGTCTTTAATTCTTTATTCATTTTCCTTCTTATTTTTCAAATTTCTTTTTTTCATCTTAAAAAACTTTTGCATTATCTTTCTACAATTACAACTTATTTTTTCCTTCAAAATTCTCTCATATTTTTTTCTTTTTATTTTATTTTCTTCTTAAAAAATTTCTTTTTCTTCTTAAAATTTTATTTTTTCTTGTACTCATGCATAATTTATGTGAAATAACCTTCTTTTTCTTTTTCTTTTTTCTCTTATTCACTTATTCTAATGCACTGCTGTACACTATTATATTTTCGACCTGTTTGAAAAAAAAAATTATTTTGTCGGTGTTAAGATGCCCCCCCTGAACCAAATTTCTGGCTCCGCCCATGAGTGTTGTGATATGTATATGTCTATTGTGTGTATATATATATATATATATGTCTGTTGTGCTTGTATATATATATATATATATTTTAATGTTTTTATTTATTTATTTTTAATAAGGCAAATAATGAAATGAACCATTGGAGCAAAATTGTTAAAATATAGCATTTTGACACTGTAGCTTCTCTCAAAATATAGATTTGGCATGCAAAAATGGCATTTTGCATTGGAGATGGTCTAAAATGAGTGGCAAACAAAGATTGAAATTGGGTGGTGATCTTCTCAGGTTTACTCTATCAAGCAAAAGGGCTCCACAAAGAAGCTCTGAAATCGTTCGAGAGCGCATTGGACGTTGAACCCAATCATGTTCCTAGCTTGATTTCCACTGCCATTGTCCTCAGACAGCTCAGTGACCAGTCGATACCCATTGTGAGAAGCTTCTTGACAGATGCACTGCGGCTCGACCGGACAAACCCTTCTGCTTGGTACAATCTAGGGCTGCTCTACAGAACCGAGTTCGGTGAATCAACAAAAGAGGCTGCTGAATGCTTTGAGGCTGCAGCCATTCTCCAAGAATCTGCACCAATTGAACCCTTCAGATGATCTGCCTGCAGCTTTTCCACCTCTAGATGTACACATTGCCCAGCTTATAATTATAATTCTCTTGAATTCATATCCACGTGTAAAAACATAGGGTAATTTTATTGGGAAAACACCAAAAAGTATTTATTGTCTTTTTTCACTGTGTAATAGCTGTTGTATATTTTATCCAATGTTAGATAGGTTCGCTATAGTCTGTAAGCATGAGATAGTTTTTGTTTTTATATATATATATGATACTTGTAAGATTATATAATCCAGTTGCTGCCTTCATGGTCCTACTTTATGCACTCCTAATGTTAGAGGTAATTTTAACAAAACTCACTCGAACTATTAATTTTGTGTTAATTTTTTTAATTACCTCTTCAAGAGATCTACGGAGTAAATGATTTGATCAATGAATATTTGATTCTTTCTTCATATTAGGATTGATTCACAATAAATTTTTGATTTTTCATATAAAAGTATATAGATTTGCGTCGACGGCAATCATTTGATATAATGTTTTAGTATACATGTCTATAGTTTTATCTTTTATTTTTTATTAAGTTTCGATGAAAAGATTTTTTAACAATGCAAAGTAAACACTTGGATGCTAATGGGCCATGTAACATCGAGTGGTTTATTTAGCTCTATCAATTAGGGTTAGAAAAATGATACATCTTTCGAATTTGGAGGATGTCGCTTGAGTGATGTGCGAATAGATTATGTGATGAGACCCACACCTCCACTCACATTTCCCCTTATTCGACATCCGATGCATCATTGATCTGTATCGAATCGACATGTTAAATTTGAAATTAGAAGAAATTTAATTATAACTTTGAACTAAATTTGCTCCAATCTTAAATTCAAAACACCAATTCAAGTCTCCCAAATGCAAATTTAATTTATTACAACACTTTGTGAAACAAAATTTGATGTATACTATTTGTTTTATTTGAAGTTGAAGGCAATTCTAATGAGGTGGTATGTCTCGTCACTTAAAATTAATAATAAAAAAGAAGTGATATTAGTGAAAATCAATTCTAATAAATCCAACCATTGAAGGGACATGAATGAGAATTACACGGAGGTTGATGTAATTTTTGAAACCCTAGGAGAGAATCTTTCCAAATCTCAAGGGAAATTAGTGTAATCTATTAAATAATAGTAATAATAATAATAAAAATAAAAAGAAGAAAAAAAGGAAAAAATGGTAGTGAAAGCCAAGAGATCAATTCTCAATGTTCTTTTTATGAGATATATAATCAACCTTAAAATGTAAAGGTAAACTATATTTCTTAAATAATTGAATCCAAATCCACTCATTTGGAATTCTTCAATTCCTAAATTCTTCCCATCAACCATATATGTTGACATAAAGCGCCTTCTCAATAGAGTCAACAAATGATCTTCTAATGATATGCAAAAAACACCCCACATGGAATCAAAGACAATATATCTAAATTCTGAACCCTAGACTTCCAGAATATATATATATATATATATATATATAAACAAAAATAAAATAATTCCAAAGCACTTATAATCAGTAATCTCTTCCATGGTACAAAAGATGTCATTAGAAAGCATCTAATAGATCATTGTAGCTTCCAACACCTCCATTTCTTCATCCTCAAGTGAGTATACTAGCAGCAATATAGCTCAAACTGGCGAGCAAATTACGCAGAGGAAAGTGAAATGAAAAAAAAAATGTTTATCAATTTCATAAAATATATATTTACAGACCAAAAGATTGCATTGCTACAGATGATCCCCCAGAGCAAAAGACAAAAATCTCAAATAGTTCCACTTGGTTATACTTTTTTGCCGAACACGCACAAAAACAGATTCCTAGTTGCAAAAACTAGTAATTATAGCAAAACAAGCATTTGAGAAGATTCACATGAATTGCAGCTACATAGAGAGAGCTTCGCTGAACTTGAAAAATATGGTATAATCATCTGTATTAAGAGGACAGCTTTTTACCCTTCTTTTGGGAAGACTTGGCAAGAGCATCACAAATCTCTCTTTTTCGTTTGTTGTTAACGTTAGAATGGTGGTTGTTGTTGCCACCTGTAATTGCAGAACCCTTGCCCTGAACCTGAAGTGCATCCTTCACAAAAAACTTCAATTTCCATAACGTGGATTCGCTCTGCACACAGCACATGAGACAGTCAATAAGTCGTGTCATTATAGAGAGTGTAGCGAATATAGCGTAAGAATCTGAATAAGATGAAGGATATTAGGCAAAGGCGTGGCGAAAGGCAAATGATAACCTGAGCATCCATGTCAAGGTCCACTTCTTCGGCTGTTGCTTGGAAGCTTGGGTTGTCCTGAGCAACAATCAGCAGTGCCTTGTTGAGATCTTCGGGAGATAATTGGGTGAGAGCTGTTCCGAGTCTTTTTTTCTCTTCAATGGACATCCTTCTAAAACAATATTTTCAATTACAATTTAATTACTGAAAAGTGCTAAAGCGATGGTTTAATATTAGGTACACAATCGGGTCAGTCACACCAACTATCCACAAATTATATCACATATTTTCATAGTGTTGATTGATGTGGAGTTGCATAACCGATGAATTAAACAGTTTCAACCAAGTAAAAGAACAGTTTCAACTGGGTCAATCACATCCATGTATGCATAAATAAACTAAACTACGCTACTATCAAAAGAAATTGCAACTCAAAATTGATCTGTTTGTTACACACATACACATTCTCATAGAAATCCAAAAGTGCACGTCATGCCTCCTATTTTTCAGCTATCGAGTGAGCTTTCTCACATTATGATGATCACATGAAATTGTGTAATTAGAAATTGAAATATATATCAGATGCCCATAACTTTATAATGAGCCTTACTTTCACAAGTGCGTCCATAGCACAATGGTGATACTGGTACATGTCGGACTACTTTGAAGCCATGAGTTAGTCTCACTGAAAAACCCTGGCCAAATTCTTTGACGTATGTGGTTAAATGCACTGCTCAATCTTGAGTTCTCTAGATTTGTACCGATGTTGCAATATATGTAACGAGAGGGGATACGGAGTGTTTGACAGTTTGTATTAGTGTTGCTGTTAATATTGCTTTTCAGGTTGATGTTGTCTTACAACTCAGTTGAGGAAGCCCAATTCAATTGTTGCAAATTGAGGCAGTTTTCGAAATAGAAAATAAAATGAAGCAGGTGGTTAAATTATCCCCAAATTTAAAGTGTACTTTAAATAATACAAAAATAATATAATCACATAATATAGGAATTTACTTACAATATTAAACTAATTTTCCCAATGTTACAAACGTTATAAAATTATTTCAATTAAGACCTAAAGACAAAGCTTGAGTGCAAAACAAAGGGTTTAAAGAACACGTCATAGATGAAAAACTAAAGCATCTCACTAATGGACAGACTATGGTAAAAAAAAGTATCTCGCTAACTGGACAAACTACATTAAATTATCAAACACATTGTGAATAGGAAAATTGAGATTAAATCCTAATCGAAAATGTTGACAAGATGTGAACTTTTGAAATCAATGAACTTTGATGTTCATTCATCAAGGAATAACATAGTAATATCCAAATTTCATTAGAAAGGGTATTTTTTAAAATAAATAAAATAAAATAAAAAAATCCCCTAAAAAGTGGCAGCTTTGGGGAATAAACACGTGGTTGCCTCATAACGCATGTGAGCCATCCGGGTGTATTCACGAGGGGTCACGGTATGACCTTCATAAGTGCAGCTGGGAGCACTCCTCCTGAAAAGATGACTTGGTTTTGACCTAGGTATCCACAGTTCCTCTAGCAACATACTTGTAGCCCATTCCAAAGTAAAAAGGGTGGGCAACATTACTTTATGATGCATATCTTTCAGAACACCTGCGGAATGTCAGAATAACAAGGAGTATCATGAAGTAATCCATCCATTGCACCTTGGGATTGTGGAGGCAGCCATGTTGTAACCACAAAATTGTTGCGACATGGTCCAAAATGGGAATTCGGGTTATTGAGGCATTGTGGCTTGGGTTAGGGGCTCATTAAGGCCAGGTAAGAAACAAATGAATTTCACGATCCAAAAAATGTGATCTGACTTGTTCTCCAATTCTATTTGTGCTTTAACCAAATGGAGCACTTAAAGCCTAATGGGTATTCCTGCTGTTGGCATCTGTAAGAATGGTCATTTAATGTGTATAATCTATACTATTATTAAAAGTACAAAGAGTTTCAGTATTTTAGTAAATAATAACAATAATAATAATATAAGTAGGAAATTCTAAAATTCAATAAAAGGAAATCTAATTACAAAAGGAAATATATAATATTAAAAAATTAAACAACTGAAATTCAATAAAAAGAAATCTAATTAGAGGAGAAATACTACTAATAATATTAATATAGTACAAAATACTGAAATTCAATAAAAGTAAATCTAATTAGAGAAGGAAATATATAATTTATTCAATAAATACATAACAATTCTATATCAAAATCTATCAATAATTGAATTTCAGTACATTAATTTATTTAATAATATGGTAGGAGGAATATTAATATAATATTATAGTAATAGGAAATACTGAAATTCAATAAAAGGAAATCTAATTAGAGAAGGAAATATATAATATTAAAAAATCGAACTACTGAAATTCAATAAAAGGAAAACTAATTCAAGAAGGAAATATATAATATTAAAAAACTTTTTTATTTAATTCAATAAAAGAAAATCTAATTAGATAATGTAATACTAATAATAATAATATAGTAGTAGGAAATACTGAAATTAAATAAATGGAAATCTAATTAGAGGAGGAAATATATAGTATTAAAAACTTATTTAGTAAATATATTAGTAGGAAATACTAATAATAACAAACCCCAAGAGGTTGGGTCAAGTGGGTAAGAACTTGGCCTTGGTGCCTCAGGAAGCATTAGGTCAAGGTTTGAATCCTCTAGAAACTAGGAAAAAAAAAAAAATAGTAGGAGATCTAATTCGAGAATTAAATATATAATATTAAAAAACTGAAATTCAATAAAAGGAAATCTAATTAGACAAGGAAATATATAATATTAAAAAACTTATTTATTTAATTCAATAAAAGGAAATCTAATTAGAGGAGAAATACTAATATTGATAATATAATAGGAAATACTAAAAATCAATAAAAAGAAATCTAATTAGAGAAGGAAATATATAATTTATTTCAATAAATAAATAACAACACTCCTATATCAAAATATACCAATAAAATCCTAAACTAAGAATTCTATATACAAAATTATTTTTATATTTAATTTTTCATAATTTATTTTAAATTTTTACAATGTTATATAATTCAATAAATAATATATTATTATAATATTATTTATATATAATAAATAATAATGCAATTTATTTCTTATATAATTTTTTTTTATCCTTAACAAATTTTTTTTTTTTACTTCAAAGTTATTATACACACTTCCGCTCACGTGCATTGCACGTGTGTTTTACTAGTATATATATCTGCATGCAATAGTGCGCCGACCTGAATTTGATTAGAAGAGTGGAGGTCTATATATGTCACAGTTGATACTCTGGCATGCTGCTTCTGTCTTTCTTCTACATTTTAGTCCTAAAAACTCCATCTCTCACCACCCCACCTACTCTTATGTAAATCACCCTATTGTCACTTCATTGAAGAAAACCCAGACTTATACGAGTTCAAAGACCACGGATATATCAATGGAAGCATTGATATTAATGCCAATAGTAGAAGATAAATTGGATTTCTTTAAACAAGTCATGCACAGTTGATAATTAATGTTTATGTTGGAATATTCATAAGGACATGGGTTCAATTTGAGAGTGCTCATTTCAATGTCAGGCCTACCTTTAGCCACTATCAAATTAAAAAAAGATTTGGGACGCCCCCAAAAAACAAAAATTTGAGGACACACAAGTGGGATGCAGAAGGGAAAACTATATTTTCTTTTATTACGACAAATACATATAGCAAAATAAGGGCAATCACAGAAACCCCAAAGAAAATGACCCATAGAGCTGCTTTCCCTTGTGATGTAAACCAATATGAGAGGAAGGAAATACAAGGAGGAGGATGAATCAGCCTAACTACATTAGAAGTGAGAGAGAGAGACAAAGAGAGAGAGAGAGAGAGAGAGAGAGAGAGAGTGAAAAAGGTGTATCAGCATATGTAAAACTCAAAATTGACTAAGAACGAATAGAACGGACTCCTCAGTGACATATAAACCATAGGCGTATCAGCACGAGACTCCTGCTTCTAGGGAGGGTTACGCAGCCTTAACCCTGCATGCGGAGAGTCTGTTTCCTATTTCAAACCCGTGACCTCCTGGTCATAATGGAGCAACCTCACCATTGCAGCCAGACAAAAAAAAAAAAAAAAATCAGTCCCTCCCTTTAGTCAAACAAGAATGAGAACCAAGAACAGACAACTTCCAGTCCTAAATAGGAGATTCCTTTCCATCAAAGATTCTGCTATTCCTCTCGCCACAAACACCCCATCACACACATACGGGGATTGCTCTCCACGCATCCCGAGCTACCAAACTAACTATTCAACCACTCCAATCGTCAAGAATATGCAATGTGGAATACGACAAGACCTAACACACGCATAAAAGGGTAAAAAACATGACCCACACATCTCTAACCATCAAACAATGAAGAAGACAGTAAAAGTAGCATTCAGACTACTTTATCCGAGGTCTCTGGTACAACCCACTAAGAAACTTTACAGATTAGGGTATCTAATAAATGCATTCAATTGGTTTCCGACTGCTAGAAATTTTTACTGATTAGGCTAACTCAAGTTTATAAATTAAAAGAACTGAAAAATCTTCTATAGAAGGCACTTTATTCTCGTTGTTCTCAACTGTTTGATTCAGCCTTTTAAAGGTGTCTCAAGAATTCAAAAAAAAAAAAAAATTTGTTTCCGATAGAATTATGGAAAGCAGTGTAAAATTAGAAAATTAAAACCATATAAAATTTTGTATAATTTCTATTTTTTAATTTTTTAAAGCATCATAATAAGAATGTTGAACTGAATGACCCAACAAGTCTAGAATTGACTTCGGGTCTCTACCCGAGATATTCATTTACTTATTCGAGGGTCAAAAAATCCAACACCCCCTCCCCCCTCTTTTTTCTCTGGGAATGAGAGCAATAAAAATAGCATTCAAACTCTTCTCAAAACAACCCTGAGCATGAAAAGCGTGAAATGTACCCATCACCTCTCCCCTAACCACCTCCCAGCTCTCCAAAAGGAATCTCATGGAAAAGCCATTGGGACCTGGAGATTTGTCCCCATTACAACTCTTCAAAGCTTTCAACACTTCCTCTTCGGAAAAAGGCTCCTCTAAGCCAGAGCACTCCTCATCATAAATAGAGTCAAACTCAAGCCCCCCAAGCAAAGGTCTCCAACTAGAGGTTTTTGTTAACAACTTCTTGTAGAAATCAGTAATTCTCCTGCAAACCTCCTCCTCCTTACACAACAAATTCCCTTCCACCCGAATCCTCCAAATATGATTACCCCTTCTATGGGCATTGGCAAGTCCATGGAAGAACCTCGTATTTTTATCCCCCTCCTTGAGCCACAAGGCTCTAGACTTTTGCCTCCACGAGATCTCCTCTATGGTAGCAATCTCAGTAAACTCCGCCTAGCACTCCAGTCTTCTAATCCTCAGGGACTCCACAAGGTCGCCCTGTCCCTCCAAACGATCAATCTCAGCAAACTCGGATACATCTCGATTCTTTCTCTATTCCAAATTCCCAAAAACCTCTTTATTCCATTTCTTAATGTTTTCCTTCAAAAAGCGCAATTTGCCCGCAAGGGCAAGACTTGGAGTGCCAATCACCCCATTCCCCTCCCACCAAGACCGAACCCTGTCAAGGAAGCCCTCTGCATGAAGCCACATATTATCGGATCTAAGGGGGATACTCTACTTCGCAACCCCCCACAATCTAGAGTCCACCTGCCCCCTGTCGACCTCTCAAAGGGAGAGTTCAAAACCAAAGCATTACAAAAAGCAATCATATTCAACACAGACTCTAGTTGCGCCAGTGTAAAAAGGAAAATTGGTTGGTAAATGGTAAGAGGCAGAGAGGACAACTAGCATGCAATGAACTAATGAGAAATAATTTTAATCTTTTAAATCTGATAGGTGAAATGACTCATAATTTATACAAATGAAAAAAGAGAATCCATGTGGTTGAACCCATTCATAGGAATAAAGGCAAGGATGATGGTAATGATGATGAAAATATTGAATGGTATAAATATTTAGCGGTGCCCCTCGTGTCTTTGACATTGGAAAATTAATAAATCCGCTGCTTAGACACATACATTTTGAATCCATATGACATAATTAAAATATTTTTAGGATTTTCAAAGTCCAAGAATGCAAATATAAGAAGAAAAAAAATCTACATTAATCAGGTATAAACAAATTAAAATAAACCATTAAAAATATCTAAACTAATACAGCTAAATGTATAAACACAGACCTGCACCTTTGAAGCACCGTTTCTCTAAGTTCTTCAAGAGCTAAATCAACCTCATCAAGCTGAAAAAGATTCAAAATTGCATGTTCAAAGCACATGAGCAAGACTCTCCTGAGATGACGTAATCATCCCAGTAGGAAAAATTATACATAAGTAAATATCAATGAATTTAAATTTATTTTCATAAAATTTTCCTTCATAAGAGATTTCCTTTTCTATAATTTATAATAAACTTACAAAAATAGTCTATAGTTTTGGTTACTCTACACAACCTTTTTGGGGCATGCACATTCACCTAGGGGATAAGCCTCAAGCAAAGTGTTAGGATACAACCTATTAATATATAATAAATAAATAAGTGTGAGGATACCCTTGTTAATGAAGAAAAAGAGGATCTTAAATTTTGAATACCTCATTACTTAAATCCCTAGCCATTTTGGCATGAGCAGCCTCCTGAAAAAGTTGCATATCTAATTGTGCCTCCGCTTCCTCCTCTTTTCGTCTTTTTTCCTGAAAGTTTCAGGAAGTTAACCAAGGATCCCGAATAATAATACAATATAATTTAACACTTGAAGGAGACATAGAAAACACATAGAAGTAAAAGACTAAAGCCATCAATTCCTCGAGAATAGTATTTTTACCTCTTCATCAACTCTTGGCAGAAGTTGCAGCCACTTCTCCTCAAATTTTGCCAACAAAGTTTTGGCCATCACGTGAACATCATCCCTTTCATCATTATATTTCATTGCATTCTTAAATATCAACCTCACATCTGCACATATCTCTCGGACATTCTTATATCCCGCGCCATCCTTGGCCTCCATTTTGTTTTTAATCGTACTAAAGTCCATGGGCTTGTCAATAACCTAGTATACACCATCTACAACATATTAATGGAACAAATTCTGAAGAAATCTAAGAAAATAAATTTGGTTGGGGAATTAAAAAGGGCTGCCGCAAGTAAATTAAGAGGATATCCAGAAAGCCACATTGTAATATGTTAGCAGATATATTTCTTTTCTTGTAAGATATATGAATCTGGAAAATTTGATTAGTGGAATAAGCATTTTTCCTTTTACGATGCAACAAATCAACATGTTCAATAAGTAACAGGCCCTTTTTCTTTTAATAAGAAAAAGGAAATAATATTTTTTTAAGCATGTCCTTCTTACAGGTACATCTCAGAGAGAGAAAAGGCATATGATGGAAGCATTGATTAGTGACCATATATGATCAGAAAACTCAAAAGGGAACAAAAAGCTTTACCTGATAATAATCATGCAAACCAAGACCCACAACATCAACAGGTTTCATAAAAGGGCCTGCCCACTTGTGCTGAGTGATCTGACAAGTAAAAGCAGAGACAAGGTAGGCAAATTAGCTTGCAATTCAGCAATGATTAATGATTTATATCGGCTTTTAGAACCTTAAAGCATTCAAGTGAAGAGGCTTCATGGCATACAATCAATTTAAGGAAAGATGAATCACAAATTAAGATCAATGGAAACCAGCACAGATAGTATAACACCCCAATCAGGTTAATCTTGGATTAGGGCATGACCATGACTTGAGGTTAGGATTAGTAATCCCAAACCATTTGTCCACTATTATTTGTTACCTCGTTAAAACATCATCCTCAATGCATTCATAAAAACATAACTCATCATTTATTTATATAACCTCAAATCGTACACTTACATTATCTCAAACTCAACTATTACAAATACTCATCTCATTTGGGTCATAAGACCCACTCACATCGGCACCCAACTATGCAACTTCTCTCACCTTATCAATGAGGGTGCCATACAAGGATGAACACTTGTGAGTCCTTCTTCGACTCCCACTTTCTGACTCTAATGAATTTCTCTTGTTTCCTAATTTTATTGCTAGGTTTTGCTTACAAATATCCAATTGGCAATAGTACTATGTCATCAGCAAACAAGTACCATGGAATGCCTCCTTGTAACCATAAACAAAGGGGAGTAAATCTCCAAGCATCTCGGTCTCGGCGGCTATCCACTATACACCCTCTCCAAGCCTCTAATTTGGTCTCTCAAATACAATATACTATCTACTTTATTTTTTGGGGGTTAATGGGCAAAATTGTAAATCAATGGGGGATGTGGATAGCTTGAAAGTATAGTGTCGCCTTGGGCGTATTTTGTATTATTTTGGGAGCGCTCCCCTTTTGAGTGTCTTTAATGATATCTTACTTGTAAAAAAAACAGAAGAAAAAAAAAATGAGTCTTTTGTAATTTCATCAAAAACTATTGTGAAATATATGGGCTTAGCACCAATCCTTGGAATAACCCTACTTTTATGGGAAAATCGATAGTCTCTCCATATATAGTACAAACTCTGATTCTTGTATCCTTTACATATCCTGAGTAATTTTTATATAAGTTTTACAGGAATATGTTCTCTTCAAAAGGCCCACCAAATTATATTCTTGGTACTCAATCATATGCATTTTCTAAGTCTATAAAAACCACTTGTAAATCTTTTTGTTTACTCCTACAATCTTAAATTACTTGTCTTATTAAGTAAACGGGCCCTATACTAGATCACCCTGGCATTAATCTAAATTAGTTAGCAAACACTATAGATCCTTCCTTAATCTTTATTTTGTCACCCATTCCTTCGATTTCCCTGTATGATTCATTAATTTTAATTCCTCGATTATTGCCACAATTTTGTGTATCTCCTTTGTTTTTGTAAACTAGTACTATAAGTTTCCCATGTCTCTATAGGTATGTTATGTCCTACCATCCCATTATTCCCCATCTTTCAAGGTGTCCTCTACTTTTTTATTATTGATTCTATATATCCCTCTTATATTAGATTCATTACTTTCACTTCTTCTCTAGGATATTCCTCATGTAACAAGTATTGGAAGTAATTCTTCCATCCATCAAATATTTCATTTTCTCTGATTAATATGGCTTGTTTTATGTCTTTACAGCATCTAACTTGATCCATAATCTATCTCTACTTTTTGTCAATTAATATATATATATATGCAAACCATTAATGCATTTTGCTGAGGTTTATTTACCATCTTAACTTCATTTACTAGTTTCTTGTATTTCTCTAAATCCTCTTGTTTCTTACTTTTTTGCCACTCTTTGAAACTTTCTCTTATTTTTTAATACTTGTTTCATTTCATCATAATTTTAATTCCTCGATTATTGCCACAATTTTGTAGATACACAAAACAACCAATATTACATAAAAAGACATTCGTGATTGCCTGACGTAAGATTCCACCAATTAGCTCTTGCATTCTCTTCACTGCAGCTGCTTCTCTTTTTGAGGCATCATATTGTCGTTTCTTTAGGCTAGCAATGTATTTCTCCTTATCCTTGTCCTTCAAAATTGAGCTACCTCTAGCAGTGTTTAGTTGCTTTTTACTCGAAGTCGAGTAGAACTGTTCGACCTCGTTCAATCTTTGCTCAAGCTGCAAATAAAATACAATACTCGTCATTTAATGATGTCAAGGACAAAGCATATTCAACAGCTGGCAATATCAGACGAACTTGAACAAAAACCATACAAGTATATGCCAAATGCCTCGAATACATTAATGGAACAGCTTAAAAGGATATAATTCCAGGTATTCACCGTGGTTGTCAAGAGCACAAGGTTGATTATCAGATCAATTCTTGATCTTAAAGATGCTACTTTGATTTAACTACCACAGGCCATACGTAAATTCTAATTAGCAAAATCGTAATCAATAATGATACGGAGCTTATAAGCAGTGGTAGGGGCACAGCCATAATATTGAAGCTGATGCGGCTCCAGTTATAGTTGCAGCAGCATTGGTAGTGAAGGTGTGAGAGGCAGTGTGTTGAAATTTGGTTAATGAGGTCATTGTATGGTAGTGGCATAGCACAAGAGTTGGTAATAGGGTTTAGAAAGTTATCAAAGGTGGTGGTAGAAGTGGTTAAAGTTGTTGGATATAGTGGCAATGGCATTTGCAAGTCAAAAGGAGTGGTGCCAAAAACAATAGAAAATGACTTCACGTATTAGTAAAAAGGTAAATCAATGAGACGTCAGAATCGCGAGCAAACTAATACCCCTGGAGTTCAAAATGAAGCTGCTCAGTAGTATCATCAAAGACTACATCACCAACTGGAGACATAGAAATGCTTTATGCAATTCCGGTAACTTAAAGTAAGCTTATACTAAAAAAGAAAATTCATAGATCCGTGACACTACAGAGTGAGCCCTAAAGCTCACAAGGAGTTGTAAAACTGGGAATCAATGGTCAGAGTGATAGCGTACGAACATTCTCCTATGAGCTAAGATACAAAGCTTGATTACGACAGTGCTACAGGGATTTTTCAGGGAGAAATATTAGTAGTTTTTCTGCAAGTAAAGATTGCGAAAATTTGGAAGTTTAGGAGTTGTGAGTGTAAGAAAGAGAAAAGTTGGCAATTTTAATTAGGCTAAGAAGGTTGAGGTTCCAGTGCTGTGAACAGTAACAGTCTGAGTTTGTGCTCATTTTGTGTTCTAGAGTTGAATGATTAAACCACCACTTTCTCTCTCTCTAGGTTTCAACTTTCTCTCTCTATATTGCTTTCTCTCTCTAAAACTACACATGCCTCGTGCTTCAATCCAACTTTTGAGAGCCTTAAGGTGAGATTTAGGCTTAGCTCAAGAAGACAAGTCCACTCCATTCGTCAAGAGCTTTCATTTGACACCGATATTGAGGCCATTTGGGGGGATTTTGAATTTGACCTAGCCTAAGGACTTGTTTTGTTGTCTTCATTGAGGTAGGGATGCTTAAACCCTCAAGCTTTGTCTTTCATCGAGTAATATTACTTTTATTTCTCTTTAAATTCACATTGAATGCAAATTTGGGAAAACATGGTAGTGGTATGATGATGTGAAGAAAGCATGCTTATATATGATGTAAAATGTACTATTGTATGCTAAAGAGATTCATGTTGTTGTCTATATGTAAAGATGCTCAGTTTACAAATGCTAGCATGGTTGTGACAATTGAATTTTGATGATAAGCATACCTACATTTGAGTATTAGTAAATGTAATGTTATAGAAATGTTTTAAAGTACTCCTTTGTTGTGTATGTTTAAGTACTATGCCTCTGCAATGATGTTTTTTTTTTTTTTTTTTTTGATAAGTAAAATGTATAAGAAAGCGTTCAAAAGGGGAACGCGTCCCGAGATATACACAAAAAGAATCTATGAACTCAAAGAACCCAAAAAGTCCACAATGTCCTCTAAAGAAGAATAATCCCTCCCCCAACCCCAACAAAAAAGGGTACAAATAATAGAAAATTTCAGCTCTCCAATAGAGGACTCCTTCCCATCAAAAGATCTTTTGTTCCGCTCTTTCCAAAGACTCCACCAAACTCAAAGAGGGGTCACCCTCCAGAAGTCTCTAGCCTGAGCCCCCACCCATTGGCTCCTCTAGATATCTAGCAATCCTTGAGAAGTCTGAGGCATGACCCAATGGATGCCAAACAAACCAAGCAAAAGACTCCAACATTCATAAGCAACGGGACAATGCAACAGAAGGTGATCCACGGACTCCCCAAAACACTTGCAAAGACAACACCGGTTAACAATGATATGTCTTCTCTTCCGTAAATTGTCCAAAGTCAGAATCTTACTCCAAGCTGCAATCCGCACAAAAAAGGCCACCCTAAGGGGGGCGCCTTAGAGATCCACACCGTCTTCCACGGGAAGGCAAAACATGAAACCCAGAGAGGCGCACAAAGAATGACCGGACCTGCAATGATGTTATAGAAGTGTAGATGAATTTAAGTGAAAGCATGGTCATATACATGGCATGACATAGTGGAAAGCTTGAATGGAAATGTCAAATGAGTCAAAGTAGAAAGGGTCGTGAAAGGAATTTTGTAAAGGAACCGGATTTCGCGAGTCCGGTGCTAACTTGATATAGAGGGAGTGCATGCCGGCTTTTGGACCTGCAAAATTAAATTAACTAGGCCCCCAAATGGTCGTCGGATTTGAGGCCAGGGATAGTTAATCAATCTTGCCTCGGTAAAGTCGGTTAGCGACTTTTGGTGTGAGTTGTGTCGGTTTGGGACCAAGGTTGGTACGGTTACGCATTTCACTACATTTTCATACATACATATGAGCAAATTGTATAAGTGATATCATTTGAGTTATATTATGGTTTGGACTCCATGAAATCCCTAATATATGACCCCGATTATTCTTTAATCGCTTTCATTTGTTGCTTGACTCAAGGGAGTCTAAAGTTGATGCTTTAAGCATCTCCTACTGAGCCTTAGTGCTAACCCTTCCCTTAATATTTTTCAGGTCATGGCAAGGAAGTCGTAGATGACGCACCTCCATAAATGTAGACGTAGAACAAGATCTTAACTTTTGTAATTTTCATAGCAATGCTGACTTTGAAGATGAATATTTTGTACTGTGACCATGATTCAATATTTGTGTAGAAAAGCATTGTAACTAAGGTCTCAAGGCCCTAAACTTGTAATCTTATTTTTTTGAACCACTTTTGTTTGCTTTGGGTATGTAGTGGACGAAGATGATAGCTACATTTATATGCTAGCAATGGTACAAGTATTTTTGGGATGAAATAATGTATAATGAAGTATCTAGATGTTGTAATTTGATGCATGAAGTTGTCGGTCGTCTTTTATTCATGTTCTTGAAGATGATAGCTACATTTATATCCTAGCAATGGTACAAATATTTTTGGGATGAAATGATGTATAATGAAGTATCTAGATGTTGTAATTTGATGTATGAAGTTATCGGTCGTCTTTTATTCATTTTCTTGAGTTAGGACAGGTGTACAATGGTCAAAATGACCAAAGATATGCTCGGGGACTGGAACGGAGACGAAAAGGGGCAAAAGCCCATTTTTCTGGGTTTTTCCGAGCGCTTGCAGCCCCTGCTGCGAGTGCTCAGACCATTGGGGCAGGAATTCTAGTAGCGGAATTCCTTAGCCGAGTGCTAGTAGGTGAGCGCCGAGTGCTCGGACTGTGCCATGCCCATGCACATGGCTTGGCCCTGCGCTCGCACAAGGGTGCTCATGGCACCCTGCGACAAGCGCTCGCTTAAGGTTTTTAGGCACTGTTTTGGGGACCCCCTTCCTTTGGGCCGGGACTTCAACGCAACGGACCCAATTAACCTCAATGCTAATTAATGAGATATAATCAAGCTTATTTGTGGACATTGTGATCAAATTTGACCATATTACCCTTGAGCTACCAGGTTTGGGTAATGACCCGGATAGCGATACGGACCCCAGGTTTGGGTCGTTACAGGTGCCACCCTCCAAGCATCCCAGGCTTGCCTCCGAACTACACAACCTCTCCAAGCCTCAAGCATGCTGACCGTGGAATTTAACATAACCCACTAAACACCAAACAAAGTAAAAACCATTGCCCAGCAATCCCTAGCCACCCTGCAGGGAAAGAGGAGATGGCTAACCAACTCCTCTCCTCTCTTGCACATGCAACACTAATTAATGGTAATCCGTCATCTCCTCCTAATGTGTCAGACTTTTCTCCCCCAATGTGCGCCAACCGCCAAGGGCACCACTAATAATAGTGCAAATGAGAATATTGGCCTCGCCGGAGTAAGAAGGCAGTAAACAGATGCTAATGGCCATATTGACTTTATCGTAGACTTCACTAGAGAAATAGGGATCAACACACATATTTGAGTCATTTTGTCACAGTAAAGAGTATCAGGAGGGTACTGAATATCAGGGATGGACCCAGGATGTAAGGTAAGGGGGGAGGGGGGAAATGAATTTTGGGGGGCAATAATGAATTGTTTTAGTAATCTCAGAGGGGGGCAAAGGTAATATTTCATGGGTATATTACTGAAAATGAACAAATAATAAGGGTATATTACTAAAAAAAAAAAAATCAGGGGGGGCAATTCTTGCATGTAGCTCCGTCCATGGTACTAATGGAATTAAGTTTTCCAAAAGTTGTTGGAAGTTATTAACAGAAATAGAAGTCGCATTGAAGTTTTTAGGGAGCTTAACTCGGGATAGTGGTATGACAGATCAGCCACCCCCAAAGAGGACAATCAGTAGGCAAAACAAAAGGCTACTTGTATAAATGATCTCCCATCAGGCCTTACAGAATATGCCCCACACAAATTTTATACCCTGTCTGATGTGTAACTGTTCTGGTGCTTGCACAGTTGCACCCATGTTTGCGCACTTGGTTAGGGCCTAGGGCCCTTAATAAATAAAAAAAATGAATTATAAGAATCAATTTTACAGTATTAAAAATATAAAGTCGCATGAATTTAGCACTTAATAGGCAATTCTATATTTATAAATTTCCTTCTCTTTTTGGGTCTAGGCCATTCTTTTAAAAGAAATATATGAGAACTATAAAACTGTTTTATGTGCAGATTTAAATAATAATAAAAATTAGCATTTAAGCAAGGATCTCTGCATCACTAGTTTCCATTATTTAATTTCGAAAATATGGGGTCTAGGCCATATCTGAGAACTATAGAAATGTTCTATGTGCAGGTTTTAAAATTTTAGCATTTATGCAAGAATCTCTGCATCACTAGTTTCCATTATTTAATTCCGGAAACAGGAAAATGATTAGGCTATATAGCTACTATCCCAAACAACAGTGATTAAGCTAATTCATTTTCTTTCTTTTTTTTCCTTAACACTACTAGAAGCAATATCAATCTCTACTTCGGGCAATAGATCTTACCTGATCAACCTTTGCGGACATATCATCAACATGATTATTGAAATCCCCGGCTTCAGCAAAAATACCTTCGCCAGTTCCTGTATCTAATCCGACCTCTGGAATTAATGCATTCACTGTTTCCATCTGAAACCAAATGAAAAAATCGATTGTGAAATTAATTTGAAAGTGAAAATTTGCTGAAATCAATTCAAGACAATACGAAGCAACAAAGAGAGAGTTGATTTATAGAACCTTGAAATAGAATCAAAAGGTTTTAGGAGAGTGTTTGAACATGCCAGAGTGATTGTTATAGCAGATTACCCGATCAGGAGCAGAGCAACAAGTTATCGTGAAATTGATCAGTCCCCAAGGGTGGATCCAGGATCCAGGATTTCTCAACGGGGGTGGGCTAAATCAAAATATATCAACCCAAATCAACTGTTGTTTAATTCAATTTTAGTTAATTAACAATGTTTCTTGAAACAATTGACTGATTAAGGCATAGAAAATCCTATTTGGGTAATTAATAAAAATAATTACCAATGTATTTCTGAACAATTCACCACTCAGAACCCTATCTCTTCTTTTGACCAATTTACTAATCCTATTTGAGAATCTACTAGTGGAAGCAGAGTGTGAGGTAGTTCATGGCAAGCCCCTTCCAACACTATGGAATTCACTCAAAAGCATGCTTTTTGTAAGTATTTTAATTTTCAAGAAGTAACTTTAGAGCTTTACCCTATATTAAGTACTTTTGCTTGTCAAAGTTCTTGTTCTGATTTTTTTTTTTAGTTCTGAAAAGATTTCCATCTTCAAAAAACTTGGCATGTTGATAAAAATTGTTTCAGATTCAATCTCTGCAGATTTCTAATCCAATTCAGGTTTTTTATTTTTATTTTTTTTTTTTTTTTTTTATTTTTTTTTTCATGTCCAGATTCAAATTTTCTTGTAAACATAATTGACAACAAAAAAAAAAAAAAACACAGAAATAGAAGTTATAGAAATAAAAATATATATATATATTTTTTGCTGAAATAAAATGCAGATTACGGTGATTACCTCAAAATGCAATGCAATGATTACCTCAAAATGCAATGCAAATTTTGTTACTTTATATTGTAAATATATATATATATATATAAAAGATCATAAAAAATTTCACCAAATAGGAAGTAGTTTGCAAAACAAGAATTACAGAGCTTGATTAGTTGATTTAGAAAAAGAAAAAAATTAAAACAAAACCCATACATACCTACAAGTTAGCAGTTGCAGAGAGGGAGGGGGGCAAGCTTGAGAGTTGAGAGACAGCGGGCCAGCGGCTGAAGCTTTTTTTCGAAAAGTAAAAGAGGAGAGAGATAAAGAAAAGTGTAGGACAATCCCCTCGCTTTGGCTGCAAATCAGAGCAGCAAAGTGGTCATGGAGAGTCCCATGTTGTTAATTTGCGCCTATCGAACTAACGTGCGCCACGATTAAAACCTCTCCCGTGTAATACCACGCCACCTTCCCTCACGGGGGAACCGCTCGGCCTCTTCACCTTTTGTAGTTTGCAGTTGCAGAGAGAGAGAGAGAGAGGGCAGGTTCAGAGTTAAGAACGAGACTAGAGATGGAGGCGATTGGAGAGGCTGAAATTATTTGCCCTAAAATTTTTTCTGTTTTTTTTTTTTTTTTTTTCTGGTGGCTCATCATCCATGGGCTTATTTGGCTTTGGGCCTTTATTTTAGTATGGTGGCTGAGTTGACTTGGGCTTGATTGGCTGGGCTAATTTTGGGTGGTCTAATACTATTAATATATATATATATTTTTTTAACTGGTCTAAAATTAGTATAGTAAAAAAAAGAAAAAAAAATTTGGTGCCCTTGCTTATGTATACATAAATACATACATATATATATATATATATATATATGCATATCTGTATAGATACATACATAAATGTGTGTTTGGCTATATAATGAACAATTTCTTAAGCTGCTTGTCGAGTCCACAGAGTCGGGGGCATGCAAAACAGACATTTCTATGTATGCATTTGATAGCAGAATAAAAACTTACGATTCATGTAGGATTTATGTGTCCGACCCAAGTAATTAGGAAAAGTCTTTGATAGTTATTGTATGTATGTATTTGATGTAAAATATATGCCATTTGATATACTGATTTTTTATTATGATCTTCTTGATATAGCAGGAAAAGCAAGACGTGTAGGTGGATCGCCTCATCAGTGGAGGTTATGATTCTGCCTTTATGTAGAAGGCAAGGTTTTTATCATCCAAAACAAAAATTTAGCTGGGATAAAGTGTTATTGGGCGTCAAAGATACCTTTTTATCAAAGGATCGACACATTTTTGTTTTGTTTTTTTTGATAAATTGGACCAACACTCGTGCGGTTTTGGTCAATACCAATTCGCGAACGGTCAATAATTTTTTTTTTACATTGACACCCAAAATTTAAAAAATGTTCATTGACACCGCCTCCAATCCTCTTCACCATCTGATGAAAGAAAAATCATAAATGCTCGTGTCTGTGTGTGTGAGAGAGAGAAATTTACCATATTCGTTTCGTTTCATTTCATTTTCTCTACCAACCAACAAAGCAAGAAAACATGTTCAAATTTTGAATAGTAGAAAATCTATCAAATTTGGAACAAGAAAAACTCAAATCTGAAAAAAGAAAACTCAATCGTTAAACTCCAAAGAGAACTCTGCTCTTTTACATGGGCCACGTAATAAATTTGAAAGAAAAATAGGATCTGTCAGATGTCCAAGAACTTACATTAGAGTCTACGAATATATTTTCTTGAAACTAATTGGAGGCAAGTTTTGATTGTTCCGTAAATTCTTCTGTACAAGAAAAGAAAAGAAAAGAAAGGAAGTACAAGAAAAGAGAAGAGAAGGAAAAAAGAGAGACAGAAAGGGGCAGCAATGAACTCAAACTTGGCTAGTGAGACGTCTAATTGCGTGAAATCCTCTTTCGCCCGCGAGGTTTACTTGCTCGAACACCCTTTGAAGTGCTGGTAAGATTCTTCTCAGGTTCTTCCTCGCTTTTGTCATCATCACTTCCACCATCAAAACTCTCAGTTCTATCTGTGGACTCTTGCTCCTCTTCTTCTGCCAATTTTCCAGAAGTTTGCTGCTTCGAAAGCTGGTTTCGGAGCTCTCTGAGTTTCGTCTTCTTTGAATTCAAGACCCCGAGAAACTAGAAACAAAAGAAAAGGCCATGTCATCCATCATGGTGGAGAAGAAATGCAAGAAAACGAAAGAATAATATAATCGAAGTATGTATAAAAAAAAATTCATCCAGTCAAGAACCAAAAAGAAATAGAAAAAGGCATACTCAAAGAAGGAAGCATATTTTAAAGTTGTGGCACATGTGGGTGGAATCGAAATCAAAATCAAACTCTTCATGATGAAGCTCCTAGAAGTGCTTGTCAAATAGCTAGAAGTATCAACCGGTAAGCTATTGATAATCCGGGATTACATTTGCAGGAGGTCTTGGAGCTGCTTTTACCTGCTATGGTGAAGTCGTCGTTGTGGTCTTGTTAAGGATCCTTGTACTGTGTTGTAGGTTGGTTTTTGGTGATTTAAGAAAAGTTTACTTCGGAGAAAAAAATAATAGCAATAATAATAAGAATAAGAATACTAATGCACATTAGTTATTAGACAGAACTCACCTTTGCATATATCGCAGATTCAAATTCTTCCTTCTCATTGCTCAATTTCTCACTTTGGGCTACACACTTTTCAGCTTCCACTTTTAGCCTCTCAAATGACTGGGTTTTTCTAACGACTTCATCCTATTTTATGTTGAACAAGAGTTATAAGCTCACACAATACTACATCAACTCAAAAAAGCACGGATTTTATACAGAAAAAGACATGGCAAGAATTATAAACTTGATTTCGATGTTTTGAAACAGGAAAGGAACTTCAAATGATCAGTTTCCACAGTGAACTCACATAAGCACATTAACATACCTAAAATTTTATTAGCACATTAAGTCAATCTCTGTAATCCTAAATTTTAATAAACATATATTCTTCAGTAAACACATAATCAACACCCAATTTCTTAAGTGTATTCTCCATCTTTTTTCCAGAATCGAGAATTACAGGAGTAGTTACCCGGTTGGTAAAGTTCCTTAATGACTTCATTATGCATAGCTAGGCTAATTTGAACAAGATGTTTGGTCCCTACACAACCTTGAGCACAGATCATTAAATGAGAGTCCTTACCAATAGTGGCTAATCTAGCCTAAAGAAGAGCGGACTAAATTCAAGTATACAAAGAATGAATAATAAAATGCAGCAGCTCATTTACACCAGACCGAAATCTCATAGAACCGCAAAGATTTTCGTTTTGAATCTACACGAACAGTAACTTTTGGGGCTTCTAAATCTGATTCTCACTCGAGCAAATACCAGATCCAATGATAAGGTGTCCATGCTCAACTATCAAAACTTAACCCTTTCTTGTCATCTTAACATCTTTTATTATACTAGTAAAAGCGCATACGCTGACTTTTTACACAAGACAATGAAAAAAAGGTTTTAAATTATCAAAAGACAAAAATAGAGAGAGTAAATTAAAATTATTACCTTGCAACAAAGCATGATATTAAATACTTAAAACTATTTCAATTAAATATAAATATACATAATACATTTATCTATATGTGTGTGTCAGAAATTTAGAGAAAGGAATTCACATAAAGTAAATATGAGATAACTTATGGCTTTAGCATTGCATGGAATTAATCTACGGTCATTTGCATTCCATTCATCTTTTGATTTAGGAATTATAATATCACCATTTTCTACAACTTCCCATATATCAATATCAACACTTCTTAGAAAAGCTCTCATTTTGGTTTTCCAAAAGACATAATCATTTCCATCAAACCAAGGAGGTCTATCAATAGACTGTCCTTCTAATTGTGAGACTAAACCATTGTTGGCCATGATCGTACTCTAGACTTACTAAAGTGACAAGTCTATCATAAATATGTCATTTGTTTGTTCATTAGAAATGTATTTAATGTAATTAGTATATATTATATCTATTTAAAAATGTACATATACACCGACACACACATAAAGGGCAAATTGTAATCCAAATGAGCTACTAGAACAGACAACATACAAGGAAAACAGGAAACCAAAAAATAATAATATCATGGTGAATTGGTTATATATATTATTTCATACGATTAAGTAGGCAATCTATAATCATATAAATATACTCTATACAACTAACCCAACATAATTGTTGTGTATCACGCACAAGTCACACAACACAGTCATATATATGTTCTTCAGCTATAATTTAGGCATCCATTAAATATGCCAAAAGAAAAAAAGAAAAATAAAAGAAAAGAAAAAGGTCTGTATATTTTGCAAATCAATGTATTCCCAATGGTACCAAGTTCAAAATGATATAAGTAATTGAAATCTTTTCAAACCAAGTTAGAACTCATAAAAGAATTCAATTAAGCAAAGATTTCCATGGAAACTAAGTGCAAACTAAACTTTCAGTAAGCAAATATTTTCCACAAAAATCGAGTACAAATATGCATTCAAAACCAAATCTATTTGAAATATAACATATGCATATATAAATATACCAACGAAAATTGTACAAGAATTAGGAGAGCAAAAACCTACTTTTTCTTGGAAAATAAAAATCAACAAAACTTCACTTTTCTTCTCTTCTTCCTTTCTTTTTTTCTTTTCTTATTCTCCACGACTAAGACTTTCTTTCTAACATGAAATGTATTTCACATTATCCAAAACATCTATTCTGACGCATTGAAGCTACAATGCCGACAAATAATCAATAAATGGACAATTGCTTGAATAAGAGAAAAATGCAAATAAAATAGTAACTACCACAAAATGACCTCCAGGTAAAAAAAGTTCCATATGAATTACTTCACGTTGGACAATAAAATAACACACAATCTTACACTTAGTCGTATGTTTGCATCCATAAGGAAATCCAAGATTCCTGCTGTTGTTTTCTTACTATTAGGTGATGGCTGACATTTCCATCGCCACTCTAGCTTAGTCCCTTGCTTTTCAAATGTCCATGACAACTGCAAAACATTACACCAGAAGAAAATAACAATAATATTAACTTCTTATATAACAAATTTACTGGGATCTTATATATCAAGTTATCAACCATATTTTAAAATACATAAGCCAGTTCATCTTAGTGATATAAATGCGGACTTCATACAACTAGAGGACTTATTATAATTCTCGGACAAAGTGAATTGCTACTTCTCTTAGTAATGTAGCATCATTAGTGATTCCCAAGCTGTTTTCGTTGCCAACACAAATCCCGGTCCACTTCTATGTTATATATAGAGGCCTTTAATGTGAGGAGGTCCTGCCTAAGCCAGATATTGAAAAGGCTGAAGATAAATCTAACCTATAGTATTATTTTGCACAAATTGGCTAATAATATATCTAGATTTGCAATCCCCTCACCTGTCATTCTTGACTTCTTTTTTTTTGATAAGTTTCCTGTCATTCTTGACTTTTACCACTATACCAAGCAATAACCTCTTTCAATATTATAAATATGCAACAGAATCACAAAAATATTAGAGTCAAAGAAAATGGAGTCAAACTTTTTCTCTACTTTCTAACTTCCCATAGAGGCTTTTGATTTTAATTTCTTTTCTTGTGAAGTAGCATAAAGTTATATTTATTAACATGTCTTCAACAACAACAACAACAAAAAAGAAAGTACTTTTCCCCAACCCTTTTTGCTTAGATAACGAGTTCTCATTTGAAGAGGTCAAAATCAAAGAAAACCTTTCTTAAAAAATTTAAACTGAATGTTATGTTATGAATTAATATATATATATATATATATTGCACACACAAATACATATATTTAAAAAGACAGATAAAGGTCACAAAAAGGATTATCTTTCAACTAAAAGTAGTTATAACTGAAAATTAACTCAATAAATCATTGTTCCATGTAGCAGTGGGTTGGTTCCAGACTTCATTTGAAAGAAGCCAGAGATTTAAACTCCTTAAGGCACATGGGGTTTTGGGGGTGAAGATAGGTATCCATTGCACGTGACAGAAAACTATTCTAGCCAACTTCCTACATCTTCTCTTCTAGTATCGTTTATCTAACTTCTGAGTATATTGCTACTCATCCATCTCAACAATTATGGTCTAAGCATGCTTCTTGATTATTTGTTGCTTTTGGTCATGGAACACGGATGGCTTTAAAGAAGTTTCCTTTGATTTGATTGTTACAAGTTCATCATACATCACTAGAAATACACCCATCCACTTCATGTCTGTCCTCTGATCAACCCTTCCTTCTACTATCAACTAGAAATGGCACAGGTAAGGTCAATCTAAGTTTGCATTAGTTCAAAGCATTAAGCATGTTGAAACTATGTTGGCCAAAGTCAATGGGTCTAAGTTTAACAGCCTAGTCCTTATTTAGGATAAACTATAATTTCCCAACAAGTCCCTAAACTATTTAAGCTTCCTCAGGAGCATCCCTGTTGTCATCCAAGTTCTTCTTCGACAACTTTTAACGGCCCACAAGAACTTAAAAATTCCAAAAACTCATCTAGGATTGGATGGTGCATCCCTTGAATCTGGATGGTCGGATGGTCCCATTGGCATTTTACATGGCTTTCTAATTTAGCTAAAAAGCATCTATATTGAGACCATAAAAAGGGTTTCTTCATGGCATGTGATCACATTTAGGTTTATTTGAGACGACAAATTCATATTTCATAGCATCACTTTTGAGATGGCTTCCATATTTTAAGTCGACTCCATTGAAATTGAAATGCCATATGAAGTCTTGATGGGACCACAAAAATTCATGGAACACAGGAACATGCCCTTAATCAATTTAATGGTTTGCTCACACTGAAATTATCTCAGTACTAAATTTATATAAGAAGCTACTGAAATGAACAACAAAATAGCAACTTAATATATATATATATATATATATATATATATATATTAACTGATGACATAATTGAAGAAAAGATAAACTGACTCTTCGATGCTCTTTTCCAGCATCCGCGAAACCATAAATGGAACCAGGCTGTTGAAACCCTAGGTATCGCTCGGCCATCTCGATGTACTCGGCGACCGGTTGGTCCCACTGAGACGCTCTCTCTCTAACCTCATCCTCCGATGCTGCATAAAAATCATAGAAAAATAAACGGAATTGATCAAAATTCTACATGTATTGGATTGCGATTGGCAAATTGATTTTGGTTGGGAGAGTATGTACCTTCGCAAATCCAAGCATCGAGACCGTTGGTGATGAAAAGTTGGAAGCGAGACTCGAACCACGTACCTTTCACGAAGATCTGTTGGGTTTCTTCGAGCTCGGACTTGTTTGGGAGATCGAGTTTCAAGCATGTGTGTCTGGTTGAGTCCATGGGATGTTAAATTGTTCTCTAAGCTTTGTGATATAGAGACAGAAAGAGAGTCTTGGAGGGAAAAGATCCTGTATTGTTATTTGATTTAGGTTCCAGTTTGGTTTGGAAAGAAGTGAAAGGAATGGAAATGGAGTAATACTGATTTTTTTTAGTGACAATTCAAAAAAATCATCTCATTTTGAGATTATAGCAGTTCGATTGGGATTATTGCACATTTATTTTAATAAAAACGTGCATTTAAGTTATTGAACTGTGTTTGTTGTTTGATGAAAAATAAAATTTTACAATTTTAAATAATAGAGATTTTAGCTTTTGAATGAAATTAAAAAATTTAACTTCTAAAATTTGTAACCTTTAATTAAAACTGTATTGTGGGTAATGTGCTATATTTTTCTTTCAATAATTTTACAAAAAGTAATTTTAATTGTTATCAAATATAATAGCACGCTATTAATAAAATATTAAATACTTTAAAAAATATTCCTACCAAAAATAATTAAAAAGTACCTTGCTGTAGAACTTACCAGCCAGCCATCCAAATACATGACTCTCCCTCTCTTCTTTGCTTTATTTCAAATTTGCAATACAAAAATATATAAAATTAAAGAAAAGAAAAACACCACAGAGCTTGTGGAAAAAGAACGTCTACTTTCCTTGTTATTATTATTATTATTTTGCTTATTACTCACAAATTAATTGTTTTATTATGAAATGAGATAATAATCAAATTACATAACACCCTTTGCTCTTTTTTTTTTATTAAATGAAAAAAAAATTATATTATATATACACACACAAACAATAGAACCCCCGTCACATCACAATTTGTTTGAGAAATTTAATAAAAATTAATTTAACATTAAGTGAAATTTTACCACTAAAAAAGTGGCATTTATCGTTTTTAGTAATACTCAAATTGCATTACCAAACGCATTTAATTCAATAAGTACTTAATATGTTCAGAATTAAGTCTAAATTATGGTACCAAACTGTCCCAAGTTGGCTAAATGTGAGTCAAATGTCTAGCTAGAATAGTATTTTTTGTTTTTAGTTACTCTTTTTTGACATAATTATTATTTTTTAAGTGAGATGCTATAATTTTCGAGTGTTTTTTCTTTTTCAACGAAATTGTTAGTACAGAGATGAGAAACTCTAGAAATTCTTGTGAAAGAACCTCTTCACGCGCTATGCTTAGGGATGGCAATGGGGCGGGGAATGTCATCCCCATCCCGATCCCTAGCCTTATCCACATCATCATCCCCATTTAGAATAGCTACTCTCATTCTTGTCCCAAAATCGTTTATTAAACAGGGCGGGTGGGGATGGGACAGGTTTTGTAAAGTATTTTCATAATTATAATACGAATCTAACAAAAGAAAATAATAAAATAATTTTTATAATAATTTTTTTTTCTCTTATGCGGATAAAAAACAGGATCCAACTTCTCAATTGAAGCCTAAGATTAAAATTATTGTTGAAACATCAAAATAATAAATAGAAGTTTTCAAATAAGAATAATACAAAAGAATATTTAGTGATTGAAATAGAATAAATTATGATTTGCTTAATATATACTTGGCTAGTATTATTGAATATAAAATAAAATATAATGATAAAATTGTAATTTATCACTATAAAATGGGCCGGGCAGAGTGTCCATAACCATGCGGGCTCAAAACTATTTAATCACCTCTATAATAATTTTAAACGGGACAAAGTGAGACGGGTACCCGACGAGGAGATGGGGTATTTTGATCACCTCCAACAATGGGAATGGAGTACATAGATGCATAAAGTGAGATCTCTCATCTCTTCTCAATGGCAAACTAAATGAGTGCGCATTTTATACATATTATATATAAAATTATATTTGTTAGTACTTTATTATATTTATTTTAATTAATAAATGAGTTTTATGTCTTTGATAATTTTCACAACATAAGAACTAAGAAGTCATTTTAAACAAATAAGATTTTAAAGACCAATTGAAAAATTCGGGTGTCCGAGACATCCAAAAGCTGAGATTGTATAATTCTAAAATATTTGTATTTTAAGAATTTTCAGCAACCATTAACAGACCAGTGATTTAACAGTACTAGGCCCCTACTTCCTAAAAGGAAATTAGGGATTCGGAGGAAATATACATATTCAAATTTGAAAAGAAAATTCTAGACCAGCCTCAGTAATTCGGTCATAACTTTTGACTCGAATATCAAAATTGCACAAACTCAACGGAGAAGAGGAAGATAAAAGTAATCGTAATTAGAATTAGTAAAGAAAGATGTAATGGCATGTAATTAAGAAAAGACGTGATAGTTCATGACTGAAAGAAAGATGTAATGGCATGTAATTAAGAAAAGACGTGATAGTTCGTGAATTGAAACAATGGCCTTAAATAAAGCGAAATGAAACAATGGCCTTAAATAGAGCCAAATGAAAACATACGAACCAACCACATCATAATCATATGAAATACTTCACCATCTGAACTTCTTTCTGCTTGAAACCACATTTCTCATAAAAAGATCTGTTCTCAACACTGCAATCAAGGATCACTTTGTAACAACCCATGGAACAAGCATGATCCATGAGGAACCCAACAATTTTTTTCCCTAATTGTTTCCCCCGAGCACGGGAATCAACCACCACATCTTCAATGTGTCCAACTTTGCCGCAATTCCTCACGAACTTTTTTTCAATAAACACACTCCCGGTTGCAACAATCTTTCTGGAACAATCATCTTCAATTACACATATAAGATGGTCATCACCATATGTACTAAGCTCTTGAAATCTTTCTTGAAAGTCGTTGTCAGAGACAGAATCGCAGATAGTTAATTGTTGCAGCAGTTCGATATAACCCTTGTTTTTGTCTGTAATCTCTAATTTTCGAACTTGTAATGTGTCTTCTTCGTTGGAGTTGTTGCTCTCCATCTCTTCTTTTCTGATTTCCTGAAAAATAGAAAAAAAATAAAATATAACAGATGGCCAAACAGAGTATTAAATTGTTACAAGAAATAGAGGAACATGTTGTTTATCTACACTATCCAATAAAGTGCAATATTGTGAACAAGATTGGTAGTCTGGTCACAGATTTAAAGTCACAATTTAAAGAAAGTAAAATATATATATATATACATATATATAATAATAAATAAATAAAAAATCCAACAAAGTAGAATATAAGTGAAAGTCGTTACTTGAAATCAAAATGACAAAATAAATAGAAGGACAAAAAAATAATAAAAAGCCTAGGAAGAATCATTTGTTCTGTTATAGAAAAGATGTGGAAAGAAACAAGGTGGAAAGAAACGAGGTGGAAGAAAAGCTATAAATATAAGGACATCTTTCGTTTAGTTGAAAATTGTAATGTAAAAATTGTTTTTCACCTAATTTGTAATTCAACCAGGGATGTTCTTGTTCATTACAAAAATAACGTATTCATTCCAAATGCCTAACCTTGTAACAAGGTAAAAACTAGCCATGTTGATATTTGGATGCGATGTTAAATCTGGATTGATGACTTAAAAGATAGACAAAACATATGTAATGAAGGGAAAATTAAATTTTGGCGACCAATAAAATATATATATATATATATATATATATATATATATATATATATATATATATTTGCTTTAAAGTGACTTTATATCAAAGAAAAGATAAATAGTAACCAAACATAAAAAATAATTGCCAATTAGTAACCATTTAAAGTTAATGTCCTAAATACCCTTCTACCACAGCAACACCATCCTCTTCCACAAAATACATATACATCTATACATGTATAAGGAGTACATTACATAGAGGCATTTCATTTTCTCATTTAGGGTTCCTTCGAAAGCAATACATAAAACCCAACTCCAAAAGGAAGATTCTAAGTAAACTCCACCACCATAATCTCATCTTCTTCGTAAAGTTCAAACTCCAAAGCCTCCAATACCTTCAAAAAATGTGCATTGATTCACATCCAAAACAGTTAAAAGATACAACCAAAACTAGGATTGCTTTACAAGGTTGGGGGGTACCTTGGAACCGTTTGGGGATTTGAATCAGATGGTGACAACGTCAACGGAAATTTGGACAGTGCCATTGAATTCACAGGTGAAGAGGTCTGCTTGAAGTTGAGATCGTAATGTTTGGGGACTGGATTACATTAGGGAGTTGAAAAAGAAGCACAGGAGGGCAAAGCTTTTGAACACTGTGACAATTGATTTGATCTTTGCAGGATGAGAATAAGGTGGTGGTGGTGGAGGATGGTGGGGTTGTAGCAGAAGGGTATTCAGGACATTAATTTTAAATGGTCACTAATTGACAACTATATTTTAAGTTTGGTTACTATTTATCTTTTCTTTAGTTTTAGGTCACTATAAAACAAAATGAGAACAAGGAGATAACAACTAGCAATAGTTTATGTTATATAAATTTGAACTATAACATACCATTTAGCAAAGCAGAAAAAACTGATATCTACATTCTTCAAACTTTGGTTTGTCTAATAGAAAGACAAGAAATGAAATAATTATGAAAATATATATATCCACGAGACTGCAAAAATTATCAACTGAAAGATGTAATGATATGAAATGATCCTTGCAGAAGTACATTATTTCATAACAATTTGCAAGCAAATGAAAGAGGACTCATCCAAATTCATATTTTATGGCCCCCTCACTCCAGCTTCGAAGGCATTGTTTAGCCATCCATGGGTCTCCCTTCCCTTATGCTGCCTGAGACTTTGCAGAATCCGAAGACTAGTTGTCTCCTGGTTCCAGAAATTCAGGAGAAGCCAAGGGTCACTTAAGGCCCAGGATGTAGAAGATCCTCAAGCTCTGCAAGGCCATATCACTAAGAAAATCTCGATACAAGTCAAGGAATTACTCTTTCCCAACTGTTTTATTAATAAATATTTATTAAAAATAGGCAAAGGTTGGGGCTGGGATAGAGAGTGACTTTGTACACTATCTGACTATCTGCTTATCGTACTAGACTGACCTTCACTTCATATTTCCCCTAGATGAATAAGAATGTTTTTTTTTTTGAAAGGTAGATGAATAAGAATGTTGGCAATAGTTTTGCAATCTCATTCTCTACTCCAGTTGGTGTTTTTGTTTCGGTATTCCTGATTTATCCACATCTGGTTGGTTTTGTTGCAGCTATATTTCGATTCATTTTTTCAATAATACATAGTTTTCCTCAAAACCTTATTAGGCAACTAAATTCAAAATTCTCACAACTTTTTTTTTCTTTCTTTTTTCCAGAGGTATGTCATATTTCAGTGATGAATTATAATTCTGTAACTCAAAAACAAAAGTGTTTTAATCAACCAGGAAAGAGTAAAATTTGAGTCCGCACTATGGAAATCAACAGTTATAGATCAAGCCTCATAGAACATTTGTCTCATACAAAAGTCATACATTCACAATCATACATTCAAAATCATACACAAAAAATAAAATTAAATAAATCAAAAACAAATATAAATTAAAAATTGGGAAAATTCCCAATTTTCTCCCAACAAATTAGAAGTTTTTCACCCACCAGATCATTAAAGACCGACAACTAGAACAGAGGAAAGAGAAAATATGACCGTACCTTCAGATCTTGCGTCCGACGAAGCGCGAGAAGTGATATATTTTTTGTCCAATGGATCGATAATCTGGTCTCGTCGTGGTCCGGCGAACGTCGTCGTTGTCTCCGATGACCGACGGCTGTCGTCGATGGGTTCAAGGGTTCTTTCGTGAACGGGTTGTAGACATGAAAGCGAGGAGAGTGAATAGGACAATTGAAGATTATAGAATCCGGACCATTCTCGTACCCACGGCCATTGAAAGCAAAATACAGTAAAATAATATAAAATAAAATAAACAAGAAATTTCATTTTTTATTTTTTATTTTTTATTTTAAAGGAAGAAAGAAATAGATTGGGTTCACATTAGGGATTGTCTTTTTCCCAACTGTCTATGCCACATGAATATGGTTTATGAGTTTCTACTTTCTAATTTTAAGATGATGAATATACATACCTTTTACCTAACCATTTTTTGTAATAAAAAAATCCCCAATAAAAGTTTCCTATTTGTATAAAACTCCCTGTTTATGATTTTAAAAAAATCAAATGATAAAGCTTGAAAAAAATTCATTTGCATTTTTACTTTATGATTAAAATCATAAACCCACTATACTATTCCAAACAATTATATTACTTTCTGTAGTATCAAATGTAATAATTTTATCCCATTCTATAACGAATCTGTTAATTAGGTTGTGAAAAAAAAAAAAAAAAAAAAAAAAAAAAAATTGATGTTACTGTTTTAATTTTAATTTAAAGGTTGAAAATAGTATATATATGGACATTTTAGTCATATGGAGAGTAAGTGTAAAAACCGGTTATCTTTTTTTGTTCTTGTTTTCTTTTTCTATGTACTTCAATGCATAAAATGCCTTGTGGGGATTATGGTTCGAGTGTCCGGGACGGTTTCTCATTGTTCCAGAGTTTTTGGAAGTCATTATTTTTCGTGTTAAGGTTTATTAATTTTAGTGGGACAAGTGGCCCCGGGATAACAAACGTTTGGTTTTGGATTGAGCCAAGTGCCCACCGATACGAGCAGCCAATATTATATTTCAAATTAGAGGATGTCTCTATAATTTTGACAAATCGCGATATGTGTAATTTTTACTTTACAAAAATAAAAAGAAAAAGAAAAAGGAATATAAAAATAAATAATCTAAATAATGATATATTGGGATCATCTATAAGTATTGAACCAAAAGGATAATTAATTGTTATATTCGAATCATCACTAGTAGTACTGAGAATATATTCATAAGATTTAGTTGGCGGGAGATTCCAAGATTTAAATTTAAAAAGGATAATTGAATTTTTGAGTGATGACGACGGCCGTTCCAATACGCCAAACTAAATGTAGTGAATGTGTGATTCAAGAAAAGCCTTTTATGTCAAATTTAAATTTATAAAAATCACTACCAACACCACTACTAACGTAGCAAAAGTGAGTAGGAATCGTCCCAAGGAATTATACGTGTTGGAATTTCAACTTCGACTCTAGCGTACCAAATGATTGCAAAAGAGAGTTGGGTTGGTTGATTACTTTTAGAAAAGAATTAATTAAAATGCAATAAAAATAAAACTAAGTAGAGATAGGGATTTAAGAGATAAGAAGAGAGGACTTAGGGTGTTGGAATCACCACTAAGTTCATGTAATTAACCACTTGCTTTCCATTAATGGGGAATACATTGTTGTGAACAAAATTGGTTCGACTAGCAAAGGTGACTCAACAAGTGTATAATGTCTAAACAACATGTGAAAGGCCACAATATATCTATTGGAAGAGGAATATATTGTCTAGACAATATGTGAAGAGAACAAAATATCAAATCAAGTCATTAAACCTTTCATTAAGCTCATAGTCCAAATAATTCATAAGGATGACTTAGTTAAACATGTATTGTCTAAACATCATGTGAGAGGCCACAATATATCTATTGGGAGAGGAATAAATTGTCTAAACACATGTGAAAGATACAACATATCATAACTAATCATTAATCATTCATTAAGCTCAAAATTCCATTACACCACAATATTAGAGCATATGCTTCTTGCATTCAAAAACATGGAACATCAAAGAACAAGCATGAATTGTCTCCCCCATCTAACACTACACTACAACTACACTACTAGCATGAAAATAAACTAAGGGAGAGGTACAATCCATCAAGGAATAAGTATGAACCATCAAGAGACATAACAAGAGCATTCCATTAAGCACTAATGTCTAGCCATCACTAGATTTTCAATCAATCACACATAGACATGCAATTAATATAGAAAAACTAGTGTAGAGATCAATTCCCCAAATAATCACACATAAGACAACATGTAATTAAAATAGAGAATCAATGGAAGAATTAACCCATATGAATCATGTGAGACATAATTCCTAATTTAATCACACATAGACACGTAAATAAACTAGAGAATTAATAGGAAGAATTTGACCATGGAAATCATAGAAATATACCAAGATTCATGAAATTCACAAGGCTAGAACACTAATCACAACAATATATATAAAAATCCCCAAAAATAGAAATACAAGGGTTTAGATTACACAAGACTTAGGGCTCATCTAAGTCCTAAGTGTAGATCTAGTCAATCATGGAGGAGGTAGATGTAGTCATGGAATCAAGCTCCAAACATGGCTCCATCTTCTTCTTCCTCTTCTTCTTCTTCTTCTTTGAAGCTCTAGAGATGGAGAGATAGTGGATTTAGAGATGTGTTCTTGAGATGTGCCTCCACTTCTCTCTTTTCTTCTAACCCTAATCTCTAACTTTTCTAGAGAGAGAAATAAAAATTACAATGTAGAAAATAAAATGATAAAAAGCCTAAAAGATCCCCTTTTACAAATGGGTTGCTTCCCTTTATATAAAAGGTCCTTTTCTTAGTCACTAAGTCTAGAATATATGCCCAAAATATCTAATCCCGCAACTTTTTGGTAGGTGAACTTTTGGGCGCACACGGAAAAAGTGACAGCTTGCTGCAAGCATGTCCAGTTCGATCGATCCAACTTATTTTCGATCGATCCAACTTTTTCGATCGATCCAACTTACCATTTCGATCGATCCAACTTTTCTGATCGATCCAACTAAAAGTTCGATCGATCCAACTTTTCAGCTTTTCAGTATCAGTTTCTTTTTGCTCCAAATCAGCCTCTTTTTGCTCCGGATCATCGCTAAGACTTAGTTTGACTCCAAAAAGGCCTTAAGAACTCATTTTTAGCCCATTTTAACATTATTGACCTGAAATAGACAAAAACACAAATAAGTACTAAAACGGGTAAATAAGATAGATAAAGGTCCTAGAATACTCAAGCTTAAGGGGTTTAAATGTGTATTTTTCAGCGCTCATCAAGTGACATTGAGAAGATATTAATCTTCTATCAACTCCTATGATGACATAGAACAATGTTGTATGTAGCATGGTTCAGTATATCTATGACATGAAAATACAAGTGGGGGTATTGCAGGGTACTCTTAATAAAAATTCACGCATGTAAGGGTGAAGTGAGGTCTCTTCTATGATAATTTTAAAGGCAAGTCCTCAAAACAATAACGAATACCATAAGTTGTTCAAGGCAAAAAATGAGGTCTCTTCTATGATAATTTTGAAGGCAAGTCCTCAAAACAATAACGAATACCATAAGTTGTTCAAGGCCAAAAATGAATTAAACCATGAGAAAATGATCTGTGTCAGGCTATTAGCTATTGTCTTGATTTACACAATCAAATAGACAATTCAAGATTGGTAAGTAAGTCAGATAGTTATTCGTTAAGAAAGATTCAAGGCCAAAGGCTATTTATTTCTATGCAATAACTTTTTAACGATACTCTCTCTACTGCTTCTTCTTCTTCTTTTTCTTTTTTCTTTTTTTTCTTTTTTTAATATAGTATTTTTAATTTGTAACCAATTTTCATTCACGTGGGGATTGTTAAATGCTACTTTTGAAATAAGTGTTATCAAGCAAATTTTGGGTAAAAATAAAAGTGAGACCCACTAGTTATAAGCAAATAATAGTCAAACAACAATTAAATAATATTAATCATTGATCATATATGTAAGAAAGGTTGCACCTTTAGAATAAACAGTTACATACATATATATATATATATCTATTTACCATGTATTCTATTTCTATTTTTTATATACACTTTTTGTATTATTGTACACGCAATGTTTTGACTTTTTTTTAAAAAAATACCCTTTCGTTTTATTTTTAAAATTCCGAAAAAACAAAACAGTTTTCCTTTTTGTTGCCCTTCTTTTTTTCAAAAAAAATAAATATCAAACAGTTTTAACCCTTTAGTTGAAGACATTGTCACTTAGTTTTATTTAAAAAATTATAAAAAAATTAAACAGCTTTCCTTAAGTTCCTCTTCTTTAAAAAAAAATAATAATAAAAAAATAAAAATCAAATAGTTTATGAAAAACAAAGAAACAAATGGACGCGTCTTCCTTTTTCACGTCTACACGGCAGTTGGTGTACGAAGAACATTATATAATCCGTTGGGATCTTGCCTCTCTCATCCTCTACCATTCCATCTCTTCTTTCAACATTTTCTTTTGTCATCTAACTCAACTTTAAAGTGTACCCAAGAAAGTCAGTATTTGATTTATGCAGAGAACTTTAGGTTTATTTTGACTTAAGGTATGTTGTAATATATATTTCGTATTACTTATATTTTTGTTTTTGAGAATACAAAAAAAGTTTTTCCTATTCTGAGTCAGAATTATTCATCATGGTGTTCTTAGTATGCTTATTGTTTAATATATTTATAGATATAAATATATGCTATAATATCTGACGAGCTTGGCACATAGTATGAATTAGTAGTTATATATATATTATGTATACAAAATCAACTTCAATGGTGACATTATGACATGGATCTTTCTTAGAATCAAACTCTGATTCCTACTTTAGTTGAGCATAAATTGCTTTATATCTTAGTAGTTATCTATATTTTTGTTTTTGGTTTGCTTATCTACTTGATTTGGATTGTTGCAATATGTCTCACGCTTGAGCATAAATTGCTTTATATCTTAGTGGATTGTTGCAGTATGTCTCACGCTTGAGCATAAATTGCTTTATATCTTAGTTGTTATCTATATTTTTGTTTTTGGTTTGCTTATCTACTTGATTTGGATTGTTGCAGTATATGTGATTGTTTACTTTATTGAATATATATTTTATTGTACTTATAAAACATAATTGATTGATTGTTTCTTTCAATACGTTACTCTTGTGTTTAGAATAACTAAG